ATAAGTGGTATTCAGTAGTAATCAGTAGTTACCTTGAGAGATTCATCTCTGATAAATATATTTTTTTCCTTCTCAGCTACAGGTTCAGATGAAACTTCTACTTTACTTTTGGAAGAACCTTTGAAATATGAGAAAGCATAAAGATTGTAACTATATCATATAATATGAGACTGTTGTATAAATGGTTCCTTGGGTAAGTGTTAAATATTTTAAGCAAGCAATAATCTGACTCTGTAGGAAGATGTTTTCAATGAAATCCAACAGTATGTTTCTCCTCAAAAAAGCACTTTCCACTGATGGAATTAGAAATATGTATTTTTCCATTCTGGCCTAATAATTGGCTTCAGAAAAGCTACTGTCTCATAATCATTGGGAGAATTAAACAGATCTATCTCTTGTCATGCCTGAAAATTGCAAGTGCTTTTCAGGTAGGAAAAAGCATAGCTGAGTTAAGTAGGAGTATATGGCTGACCTTGGCTGATCTCCCAAAACTAAGTAGGCCAAACCTGTTTAATACTTGGATGGGAGACCACCAAGAAATACCAGGATAGTAGAACAGGTTAGGAAAAATCATCTCCAATAGCTACTTCCACATTCATGGAAACAAAAAAGCAAGCAATACCTACCCTCCCTTGCTTTTGTTTGTTTGTTTGTTTGTGAATTTTTTATGTTGCCCATCTGAGCTTGCTGATGTTTTGTGTATATTATTTTGCATGTTCTCGAGGATTGATGTTGAAGACAAGGGTGCACTTCGGAAACTGGAAATTTTAATCTGTATTGGTTAGGTTTCTGGTTATGTAGCAATCGTGTTTTTGTTTGGCTAATAAACTATAAACCAGGCTGGAATTAAAAAAAAAAAACACTAGGAAGAAGGTAATAGCAAACTACCTTAGGTCAAAGTCTACAAGATTATCATGAGGTGAGCTTGGTTTGAAGGATCTAAAGATGACGTATTTTGTTTGGCAGCACCTGGCCAAACAACAGATATAATAAAAGTGGATAGTGCACTGTTGTAGAATTAATGTTTGCTATTCATATAGTTAAAGAGAGCAACTCCTTTTCTTGCAGGGGGACAGCTAGCACACTGCCCATGCAATGTTCAATAACATTTAAAGAAACTCCATAGCATAGAAATACTGGGATTGACCAAACAAGGATATATTAGGAGTATTCAAACAATTTAGTCTCTTTTTGACCTACATGCTAAGTAAAGAGCTTCATAGTATGAAAAAAGACTTCAGTCAAGCTATTTGCAATGATGAGTCTATGTGTGTGTGTGAATGTTTCATATTTTTTTAAAAAAATGTTCCTTTTGCCAATATTTCTGCAAAATTAATTGGCCAATAACCCATTAACACAGACTGCTATGGTCCTTACTCCCATAGCCCTGATGTAAAAATACAAAGGAGCAGCAACTCATACTGAGTATCCTTTGTTTCCTATGCCAGAATATTCAAAACATTTTTAGTTTTGCTTCCACCGAATAATGAAGCTGTTTGGAGCTTTGCTCCACTACACAGCAGCCCATTTGGGACATTCAGATAAAACGTTCTGAGTGGGATGCCTAGTTCCAAACTGAAATATAACAGGTTGGTTATGTCACAAACATCACTAGATTATATCTGTAGGAGAAGAACAGGTAGAGGTGGAGGGGGGCAGAGCTAGGCGAGTCATCAGCTTAAATTTATTGTATTCCCATATCTACGTCCAACCCCTCTTGAATTCTGCTGACACTTATCTAGCACCAATTTTTAGCACTGAATGTTAGTTGACTAGATTCTTTACTGTTTGAGCAATAAATCTCAATAACTCCAATATATGGTCCTGATTCTTTGAGCCTGACAATACCATAAAAATACTTACTTTTCGCTTTCTTTGTAGCAGCCCCTTTTTTGCCAGAAGGTGGAGACTTGACCTCAGCAGAAGCTTTCTCCATTGCCTCTTTAGCTAATCTAAGTTCCTCCAGTTCCTTAGCCATTTTTTCTTCCTGGTATTTGGCTTCTTCTTTCACTATCCATTCATCAATGGAGGCAGCCACCAATTCCAGATAATTCCTGGAAAATGTATTACTGCTATCAGTCAGAACAATGACTAGAAAGGCTCTTCTCCTTGACCCTGACCAATGGAATTCCTTGGCAGACTGGGTCCGTAGCAGGCCTTTTCTGTTGGCACAAGGAGGCGGCCTAGTCCCAATCGAAAGAAGCAATTCCTCAGATACCACGGACCCATGCCAGCTTTAAAGATAATAACCAATACCTTGAATTGGATTTGGAAGCAAAATGATAATCAAAGCACCTTGCAGAACAGCAGTATTATATGTGCCAGCCTAGGCCCCCCAGAACTGTGTATGCTGCTGTATTTTGCACCAGCTATAACCTCCAAATACTCTTCAAGGATAGCTCCATGTAGAACTTGTTGCAATAATCCAGCCAAGAGATGACTAGGCCATCAATGACCAGGTATAGGGCCTCATGATCCAGATAAGAGCATGACCCATGAAGTTGCACAAAGGCCTAGTCATGACTATCACTGCTCTTTGAGCAGGAATCACAAATTCCAGAACAACTTCCAGGTTGCGCAGTGGGTCTGTCTGGGGTAGTGCAACCCCAGCCACAACTAAAGATGATAAACAACTGGATCTGAGGTCCAGCACACAGCTACTCCATTTTGCCAAGGTTCAGAGGAAGCCTGTTGTCCCCCATCCAGATGCCTACAGCCTACAGCACTGAAAAAGGGCAGCTATAGCACCACTTGGATCAGGGGGGTGGAAATGTACAGCTGTGTTACATCAGTATACTGATGATATCTCATCCCATGATGTCAGATGATCTTGCCCAGTGGTTTCATGTAGATGTTAAAAAGGTCTCGAGAGAGTACCGAGCTTTGTGGCATCCCACAAGTGGTAGCCATGGGCTGGACCTCTTGCCCCTTTTTGACATCAATTGGGACCGGCCTTTGAGAAAGGTGCTGAGTAATTCTGCACCACTCAGCCCCAAACCCTGCAGCCGACCCAAATGGATACTGTGGTCAATGGTACCTAAAACAGAGAGATCAAGGAGAGCAAGAATGAATGCACTACTGCCATTCCATTTTTACTGTTGTAATTATAATCTTTAAGATAATTACTATTTTTAAAAAAACTTTTGATAATTTCCCTTGTGTTATTCAAAATGTCTGGCACAAGAGTGAAATTTTTAAAAATATATTGTTACCTATTTCATCTTTTTTGAAATTCAAAAATATGATGGTTGAATCTCATTGGATGTTACCTATTGGGAAATTATTATTGTTATTTAAAATCAGTTTTCTTCTGCTAACTATTAAACTGTACAAATAATTTACCAATAATGATGATGAAGTAGCACCAGTCATTCATCATCAATGAATTATTATTCATTGTTATAATTCACTCCTTTCCCACATGATAATAGGATAGTATTTGAAATCCATTTTACCTGAACCCAACATCAGAATGCAATGAAATGTTCCAGAACTCCTGGAATTGACGATGTTGGTTTATGGGATTATGAAGGACTATCAGCAAAGAGTTATCTTGAGTATGATAATAGGAATCAATGCACCTATAATTCTGAGTTGCATTGTGAAGGATCTGTTAACAAAAGAAGAATTAATACAAATCCGTTCTCATTAAGAGACTATCTGTAGAGGTGATGCAGAAAAAAAGACAATGGGTACATTTATTTGTGCCAACTGATTTATAGGCAACTGATAAGATACCAATAATAGAAATTGTGAAATGTTTTACAATGTATAGTCAAAATATAAATGATTGTATAAAATAGAGAACAATATAAAAATAACTTTCAATTTGAAAAAGTGATGAAAAGAAAAAAACTAAAGCAAGACATAATATTTAAAATAAGAAAAGTAAATGAATAAAGATACAGTCATGTAAAAATGTAAGTTCATCCCATGTAAAGCTTTTTCTTTCTTAAGATATGTGAATATATCAATATTTTATCTTTATTCAAACAGTATAAAGATAAAGGTGATGTGTCATGCTTCTGATAGATGAAACTCTTCAAAAGAACTTTGAGGCATTGTTTACCTTAAAGAATCTTTTATTCAAGGAATAAAGTATTAGCACTACATAGTTGAAACCAGAAACTAAATTCCCCTCCCTGGATACAAAGTAACATAATGCAATTCCCTCTTCCAATAAACAGTCATAAATCACACTCCCCAGTTAGCTTTCTCCCCAGCTCTCCAGCCCACCAAAACACTATCAGCTCTGGGCCCAATGTCCTTGGGTTCCCACAACTAAGTCATTATTGTTATGACTAGCTGGACTCTCATCCCTATTCCCCCTCCGAGCAGCAACTAATTCTAAAAGCAATAGAGAAAATGGCTGCATTTCCATTTGTTGTCAAAGCAAGAACATCCGATGTTAGCAGTGTTGACATGATGTAAATGGATAAAATGAATTCTTTTAAAAAAATATTTTATTGAGTTTATATGCACAAGGAAAGAATAGGAACAATACGGGTATGGTAAGGAAAGGGAATGGGGGGAAGGGAATAAGGGATTTAGGATAAAATAAGGATAGGTACAATTACATATTTTAACAAACAAGCTACTGTCCGGATCATAATAATGAGTAAGTATCATACTCAACCATTTTTAAAATAAGCTTAACTACAGCCATATTGCTAACAATTAATAAACAAATAAATTCATCTATTTAAATAAACATGAATAATAAAATCTCAAGAAATCATGACTATCAAAATTAACAGATAAAAATCACCAAATCACTAAAAATAAAGATGTTATCAAGCTATGAATTATAACTTGGTTAAAAATCAATCATCTATTCTAAAACATTAAGTCCTTTTTAGAAGATTCTAACGCGTCTCTAACCATTGATAAAAATTTTCCCAAGTTTTAAAATAAACTGAGTCATCTTTTTCTTTCATCTCCAATGTTAATCTATCCATTTCTGCACACTCTTAACATGATAAAATGAATTCTACAATCCCTTATTCAACAAGCAATTAACAGATATGCCATTTCCTTCTGTAGAAAAAGTAAATACCCCCTTGGCTCTAATACCTGGCATTGACCACTTTGATAGAAATGACCTCAAGGAGGCATTTCTTATAATTGTCTACCGTTCTCTGATACTGACTGAAAGGAATATTTTTCCTATTCCTCCATGCAGAATTTTTTCAGCTGTACAGTATTTGTACATCTTCATAGCATCCCATCTTATAGGGATTTAGAACCAGGCTCTGAGACAGCCATTTCAAAATACCAAATTCTTGTTTTAGCTATTTCTTTACTGGAATGTTTAGGTCATTGTTATACTGCAAGGTCCGCTTTGGGCTGAACTTCAATGCTCTGACAGATGACTTCATATTAACTTCAAGGACTGTCTGATACAATGAAGAATTCATAGTGGATTTCATGGTGGCAAGCTGTCCAGGTCCTGATGCAGCAAAGCAGACCCAAACCACAATATTTCCACCACCATGGTTTATGGTTGGTATCAGGGTCTTCTGGTGAAATGCTGCCTTGGTTTTTGTCAAACTTATCTTCTGGTACTATAGCAAAATATCTTTGACTTGTCTGTCCAGAGTTCATTGTTACCTAAGTCCTGGTTTTTGCCCAAGTATTCATGAGCAAACTTGAGTCTCGCAGACAGCAAAGATTTTAGCCTGGCACACTTCTCACATAGATCTAATTTGGGCAGGGTCTTTCTAATAGTAGACTCATACACTTTTATATCAATAGTGGAGAGAGCTAGCTGTAGGTTATGTGATCAAACTCTGGGATTCCTAGAGACTTTTTTCAGTATATTACATTTTGCTTTGGGGTTGAACTTGCTGCGACAACCTGACCTGGGTAAATTGGCAGTTGCTTGAAATCTTCTCCACTAATTTTCTAGATAGTAGAATGATTGATGTCCAATTGTTTGGTGATCTTTTCAAATCCCTCCCCAGACTAACATGCATTTCTATCTTTGTTTTTGAAAGCCTCTGAGAGCTCTTCCAATTTAGGCATGATAATATTACACCCTTCAATGACAAAGAGAAATGAAACTAAATGTCTGAAGTTTCAGTAGGACAGGTATCTCCCAGATCCTCTCTAGCAGTGTTCTATTCATGTGCCCCTCCTCTGGTACACCTGATTCTAATTTTATATATTTGATAAATTTACAGCTTTTTCACATGTGAAATTTGCCTTTATGTTTACTTAAATTACACAATATAATGTAACTGGTGGATATTATCATTATTATATCTCCTTTATCAATATTATTGAAATGAAGATTAAATATCTGTATGTTGAAATATGTTAAAAAAGTCAAAAATTTCATTGAGGTATACTTTTTCACCTGGCTGTAAGGACAGCTGACATATAAATTTCAGGATCACCAATGAGAAGTCCCAATGGAGAGTAAGCACAACATGGTTATCTGCAATTTTCAACATAACACAGGTGGGCATATATGGATGGGTTATTTTAGTAATGGGCTGGTCTGTAATGGGAAAGATGACCTATTAGTATGTTAAAAGCAAAACCTTGAAACTGATTAAATGGCAGTTTTTGTGTAACACGCAGATAGCAAAGTGTCCCACTCAACATCCTGATTACCACTTCCTGTACTTGAATGTTCACATACAGCATTGAAACAGAATGTAAAGTTGCCAGTATGTGACTCATACTAGCTAAGCTATCATAGTACCTAAGCTATCAGGAAAGATAATATAGCAATCAAAGCTTTGATGACCCCTGAAGAATCTTGGAGAACTTGTACATTATGTACTAGTCCTTTTTAACAAAGTTCATATGTGTTCAAAACAGGCAACGTCCTCAGTTCCATACAACACATACAGATATATGTATGGTCCCAACTCTAATGCAATTAAACTATCTAGGAGGGCACTGCAGTCAATACTATTAAAAATTACTGAGAAATCAAACGGTGAGTGAAGTTGCACTTCATCTATCACTTCTGAAGAAAGCCATTTGTCAGGTTGACCATGGTTTATTTTGATCCATAATCTTGAAATATCCTAGAATAATGACTTCTCCTAGAACAGTGGTTCTCAACCTGTGGGTCGGGACCCCATTTGGGGTCGAACGACCATTTCACGGGGGTCGCCAAACAACGCAGTCCACCATTTTTTCCCCCCTTTTCCTTAGCTGTGCTACTCCCTTTTATTCTATTGGCTTTTGAAAGCCAATAGAATAGACTCTCTTGAATAGAGTCTAATTCTATTGGCTTTCAAAAGCCAATAGGAATTGTCCAGGCTGTCTCTGCCCTGCTGAGCCCGCCAAAAGTCCCATTCTGCAAACGGTGCTGCACCAGTTGAGTAGTCCTCGACTTAAGACCGGTTGAGTAGTCCTCGACTTATGACCGGTTGGGGGTTGCGGCATTAAAAAGGTTGAGAACCACTGTCCTAGAATATCCATAGCTACACAGAGAACACCCTTTTGAGTAATTGACTCAGATTAATCTCAACCTTTGGTATAATACTGAAAATATGAACTTATTTTCTAGAAATGCATGTTAAGCAGATGCTGGACAAGAATGTTTTCTAAATGAGGCAACAATTTGAAGTTACCTGGAAGAGGAGTTGTGGTTGAAAATGTTCAACAAAACTCCAATCATTCAGACACCGCTGCTGGGTCTTTTGGATGGCTGAAATTACCTTATGAAAGAAAAGATAAAATTTGGCTCATTTAATAAATGTTGGGAAGGAGGTGAAAAATAATCCACAGAGGTTTATTTTCTAGCTTTAGAATCTAATTCATTTTAAACTGATCAGTGTAAAGGCTCTACATTTCTATACTATCATATATATCTAACATCTGTTGGTAAGATGAGCAGCCAATAAGTATGATTGACTGATAAATAAATAAATCTGCATATTCAACCTTATTTTTTTATAAAACGGCCCTTTTCTTTATTAACATATCAATATCTTCATTCTGGGTATGAAATTGCCATTAAAAACAGAAGAAGAAATAGAAAATGTCACTGCCTTTTCTAAAAATGTTAGTACTCAACCAATACTGTCTAGAAAGTACAATAGTGCTCTCTTCACTTCCAATAGTTGTGGATTTATTTGGGATATACAGACAATTCTAAAAGTAATTTCTAAATCTATATCAATAGAAGAACACATATATTTGAAAGTTTATATGACCTTCATAAGTGGAAAGAAACTCTGAAAGTGAATTTCTTAAATTCAGCTTTAGAGAAGACTAATCTCAACAACAATTTGATGTTGTTTCTCCTGATATTAGTCTTGCAGTACACCATGCTTTGAAAAATGAATTATAACATTTACATGTATTTATGTAACATCTATTTTGCTTTTAATCATTAAAGCAATTTCAAAATAGTATGATTATATTAAATATATTTTAGGACTACCTACATCTTTCTTCCTCTCATTGTTAATTCTCAATATGGAAGCTAAATGATTTTTATCAAAGGTTCATTTTAAAAAAAGCAGCTTTGTACACCCTCTTTGTAGAAAGCAAGTTATAATACAATCACATAACCAACTTAATGCACAGAGAGGTTGGAAGAATCTCTCAAGTATAATTAATACCTAATTTGAAATTCAGCCCATACTTATTTTTTCCATTTTTTTCTTCACTAGGAACCTTTAGGATGATTCAAGTTAAAACCCATTACATTCTAGGTCATTTACTTCATAATGAAGCAATTCAGCCACTTAGTACCATTCTGTCATAATGCCCAAGGTCCTAAACTACATGCAAGCTGAAGGAAAAATATATATCATTTTCGATCAGCATAGCATTTTATTGGTTATTGGTTTTATTAATGCTCATTCTTAAATTAGAACATGCTCTAAAAGTGCTCTTTTTCCTCTGTTTTCCTTTCTTCAGTCTAGTCATCCTAGTAATGGATTTATACCAGAGTTCAAATTCACGACTACACAACACACTGGGCAATTTTGGACCATTCAGCCCAATTTATCTCATACTTACTATATGGATAACATTAGAAGATTATGTTCAGGACAACCTCTCAGAGCTATTAATGCAGAAAATAATTGTAACAGTAATATTAGATCTCTATTTATGAAAGGAGAAAATGATTAACCTATTTCCCTTCCTCCTTTACTACCGATGAAACAAATAGCCTCACTTAAAGAGCAAGCTCGGTTGTAAAAATGGCAACAGAGGAAAATGTTAGAAATTTTTAGACAACCATTTTGTCAATCTTCAAAGTAGCATGAAAAGCTTATTAGTTTAGAAAAAAATGTGGAGATGATTGAAAAAAAAAGGCCATTGAAGTTCTTTAAGTGGTCATCTGTGTATTCACAACTCCTTGTTGAAAATAAATCCTTATTTGGTGAAAACCAGCAAATACGATGAGATGAAATGAAGATTATGGATATTCTATACTGATGTGTAACACATGTCATCTCAGATATTAAGTATAGAAAAATACATTTTGACTTTCTTTTCACTGAAAACAATAAAACTTTAAATATACAAACAATACAGAATAACAGATGGGAATATGAAATTTTTGATAACTGTCAACAGCATCATTTTTTCAGAACAGAACAATGAAATTAGAGGCTCCAGTTCTACTTATGCAGCTAGAATATAGCACAAATATCTTTACAAGATCAAGGGTTTCAAGCTTCTTAAGAGATTCAACCTATTGTATATTTTTAAAATTAAAAACAAGGAATGTTTTTACATTTACTAGAACTTATTTATACATTCTGCTTCTTATTTCAGCATTTCTTACCTTATCTACAGAATTGTTCAGATCATTTTCATGAACGTCAGCAATCAACTCTGTAGAATATATTTGAAGATATATACAAAATGTTTAGAAATGTTAAATTCTGTTATCTGGTTCCCATTACATAAATGCTCAATGAACAGAATGGGTGCTATGCAATCTTCAAAAAATTATATTCATATATTCAAAGCTTTGACTTTTCTTCTTCTCTTGGTATCTGCTTTTATATATTTATGCATGAAGACTTCAGGCCATAGCAACTATAATAACAGCCATGGCTTCTATGGCAGAATCACCTTCCTCAAGCTTCAGGCTTTTGAATATAGGAAGATGGGAGCATAGTATCCCTGTATCACTGTTCTCAGATTTGTGAAGGCAAATTTAGACATCAACAGTCTATAGCTTCTTTCATGGAGATATTCATTCATGCATCCATCTCCTTTCATCTTTTGCTCATTTTAGAAGTTAGAATAGGGCTAGTTCAGGAATCAAATTCCATTAACCCAGAAATATTGTTCTCCAGCTCTAAATTATTTTATATACAATAAGCAATTCTTCATCTGCTAACTGTACAGTCCAGCAGACAGATAAGGAAAAATCAATTGATTTTTAAAAGAACTCTTAAAAGAGCATTCTTGCCAGTGCTTTGGAAAAGATAGGAATTCCTTCCATGTAAGAGGACAAGAACAATGCTAATTTTAGTGGTCATCATAGAGGGAATGCCTAGCAGTTAATAAGAACATACAATGCTATGTTAGAGAATGGGCAATATTGAAAAAGGGGAAGCCAGAAAAGAATGGCTGCAGTCTGAATTTCTAACTGTCCCAGACACAATTATTTACACTGGCAACAGAACTCATATAATGAACAAAAAGTAGAGCTAAAGTATACTAAATTCCATCTGTTTCTATTCAACCCATATCATATGTATCATAGCACATGTATACCTATGATAAGCTAATGGCCTCAGCGTATGTTCTAAACTCAGAAAATGGAATAGGTTAGTAAAAATGCTAGGATGTTATGTTATGTAAGGTAAAAATACGGTGTATAAACAGCTACAGCTAAGAACAGTCAACAGATCGCTTATCCTTCCCAAACAAAACTCCAGCCACCTCATCCCATACAGATATTATGGCACTTGCAGTCAATGATGCAATGGGTTCTAAACACCTGAGCCCAGATAATTGTTGTACATCTTCTCTGCATCTCTGCAGCAATGTCACCAATAGTGGCTGGATCGTTTTGAACAAGCGGCCTTTCCTTTATAAGCCAATAATCCAGTGGTCCAAAACGTTTTAGGGTTGATGAGCATACACAGGATATTAAGGACAAACTATAGGTTCTAGCTCATTCACAAAGTAGTTGCCATGGGAATGTAACAAGTCACAAATCACCAATTTACAAGAATGCCACAATTATCCCTACTTAATTTTGTCCTTTTCATGAGCAAAACAGATATGTTTACAAAGAGCTGGGATGGAGCTACTGGGAACATTTTTTTTTTAATCTTGTAGAGTCCAGAGTCATTTTTGTACATAAAGAAATGGTTGGACATTTGCATTCTGTTTTGCAACAGGCTTAGCGTCCTGTTTTTAATTAATGAAAAAAGTCAGAGAAAGTAGGAATCCTGGCATTTGTTAAGAAATGGGCTAACGAGGCATGCTGGCATCCCCACACACCATGCTAGAGACTCACTCTCTCTCTCTCTCTCTCTCTCTCTCTCTCTCTCTCTCTCTCTCTCTCTCTCTCTCTCCTCTCTCTCTCTCTCTCTCTCTCTCTCACACACACACACACACACACACACAAACCACATACACACAACTCCAAGGCTAGTCATAAAGCGTGCAGTAAAAAAGAATCTATGGTCAGAAACTCATGCAGCAGTAACAGTCTTGGAAACAGTATTCCATGAATCAATAGATACCTCTTATTAGTGCTGCAAGTTTCCAATTTCCCAACACAGTGAACAAGGACTCCAGAGAGAATCCCAGAGGGAAAATGGAGAAGGAAAAGGAAAAGAACATATTTCCAAGGAACATATACCTGAGCTGAAAGATTTGGATTGCTTCTTGATACTTTCCTCCAGTGAAAAAGAGAAATGTTGTTGAGTTTGAAATGTATTATGCTCAGAGTCTAGCTCTATGAAAAAGAAATACAAAAAAGACAATTAGGTAAATACTAAATGCACATTCACACAAGAGTTCCCCTGCATCCTTAATTTAGCTTTCAGCACTGAAACTAGCAGTACAGAAAAGGTTCCCCTTAGAAACTGGAAACAATTTTGTTTGGGAAAAGTAGAGCCTCTTTCATATGTGGGTACTGCAGAGATCAGAATGGATGACCCTTGAAAAATATGAATATGATCTCAGACTTCATGTAAATTAACAGTTATTCAATGTAAATTTTATTTTTTGATGTACCACTTAAGAACTATTATCAAGCTCTGATAATCTGAACACATTTCTAATGCTATCCTATATGCGTCTACTCAGAAATAATTTCTACTCTTTTCAATATGCCCTATTGTAGCTCTCTCCCCAAAAGAATCTGATAATGATAAACACAGGAACAACAAGAATAGTAATTGATTAATTTTATTTTGCATTTTGTTCAAAAAGCTTAGAGAAACATACAAAATTGTTCATCTGCTTTTATTCTCACAATTTTTATGCTGATGTTAATAACATTGAAAGGAGCTTCACAACTGAATGGATATTTCAGCCAAAGTTTCCTGAACCATCCTAGATGCTGTTAGTCTATGTTGCAAAAAAGAACAAAAAAAAACAACCAAAAACAAAAAACAGGAGGAGTCTGGTAACATCTTTTCTGTCTAACAAATTTCATTATGAGGGCATAAACTCTTGTGAGATGTAGCTCACTTCATCACAACTGCAGCTCACTTCTTTTTGTATAGCTCTTTTTTCCATGCAGTTCATGAAAGCTTTTAATATGCGGCTTCAGAAAAGAACAAACAGATTCTTTCTGATCTGCCATGGTAGGTGCGGATTCTGATCTGCCTTCTACAATGAGTAATTAACAAATTATTATCAAGATCATTAAACATATCATTCTATTTTTTATTCCTAGAGATAAATGCCTTTGCTCAATAAAAAAATCCTTCAGTGGCACCATCCCATGCTTTATTATGATTAAAGTACCTTTTTGTAAGTTACGGTAATTTGACATGGCTCAACTGATGTCCCTGCTCATGAGCAAGTTACTGTTCCAAGAGGAAGTGGAAATTCTGAGACAGTAGCTCCCTTCCCTGATTTTATGCCTTGTGTCAAGGTTTCCTCAGTTTTCTGTACACTAAAGTGCAAAATATTCCTACTCTGAAATCTTCGTTATACTGAATTACAATTTTAAAATTTTACTGCAGGGGAGCAATTAAAATATGATCCCTCCAACTGCAAAGTAGTGTAATCTTCTCCATCATTTCTGTCTGCTTCCTGATTGTGGTCAACTCAAACCCAGATCCTCCAAAATCTGTCCCACATTGCCTTTCAATCCTCTTTCAGCATAGTTTCCCAGGCCTAATACTGCCTGTTTAGCTAGCAAATATCTTTCTGGACCATTGTCTTGCAAACTGCTTTTTCATTGTCTTTGGGGGGAGTTTTCATCAGCCCCGTGTTCTCTGGTAGTCAATGCAACCATCTTGAAAGCTCTCCCTTAATAGCCATTTTCTTTCACTTAGAAAAAAAAAAGAGGGCCAAGGATGGTTGTACAATAGCCAGCATGGGTGATAACCAGTAGCCAACATGGGTTCTCTGAAAACAGATCATGCCAAACAAATCTTATTTCATTCTTTGACAAAGTAACTAAATTAGTGAATCAGTGAAACACTGTGGATATAATATACTTAGATTTCAGTAAAACATTTCACAAAGCAGACCACAACCTACTTCTTGTCAAGCTAGAAAAATGTGGAACAGACAGCATCACCACCAGATGGGTCTGTAGCTGGCTGAAAAATCATATTCAACATGTAGTCCTCAATGGAACTACATTTACCTGAAGGGAAGTAAGTAGTGGGGTCCCCCAAAATTCTATTTTGGGCCCAATACTCTTCAATATGTTCATAAACTATTTAGATGAGTGAATAGAAGGGGAACTAATCAAATTTGCAGAGGACACTAAGCTGGCAGGAATAGCCAACACATCAGAAGAAAAGCTCAAGATCTAAAAAGATCTTGACAGACTTGAACACTAAATTAAACCTAGATAAAAGTAATGTTTTACACTTAGGCAAGAAAAAACAACTATATAGATACAGGGAAGTGAAATTTGGCTTAATGCCAGCAATTGTGAACAGGATCTTGGAGTCCTAGTGGACAATCACTTAAATATGAGCCAGCAGTGTATGGCAGCAGCCAAAAAGGCCAATGCAATTCTAGCTGCATTAATAGAGGGATAGAATCAAGATTACATGAAGTTCTAGTACTGCTTTACAAAGTCTTAGTAAAACTACACTTGAATACTGCACTCAGTTCTTACTACAGATGTTGAGACTCTGGAAAAAGTGCAGAGAAGAGCAACAAGAATGATTAGGGGGCTGGAGCCTAAAACATGTAAAGAATGGGAATTGGGTATGTCTAGTCTAATGAAAACAAGGACTAGGGGAGACGTGATAGCAGTGTTCTAATATTTGAGGGACTCCTACAAAGACAAGGGAGGTGAAACTATTTTCCAAAGCATTAAAAGGCAAGATGAGAAACAACAAATGGAAACTAACTAAGAGAAGCAACCTACAACTAAGGAGAAATTTCCTAATAGTGAGAGGAATGGAAACCAATGGAACAACTTGCCTTCAGAAGTTGTGGGTGCTCCATCACTGGAGGCTTTCAAAAAGAGACTGGACAACCATTTATCTGAAATGGTATAGGGTTTAATATATTTACAAAATACATCTAAAAATTATTTACCTGAATTATTCAAATTAAGCTCTTTAGAAACCTTTTTGCCAAATAATTCTTGCCTCAGTTGTCTAGCAAACCTAGCAGGATTGTCCCATGGGATATAAGACACTTCATCATCACCACCAAGCATCTTGCCAGAGTCTTTGAGCTGCCCATACTTATCGACTTTTGTCAGCTTCAAACTTTCAAAAGTAAACACTCGAAAAGCTCGTTCTACTTCAGCCCAATTCATATGTTCTGCAAGAAAATTAAACCACAGAAAGAAAAATGTCCATTTAAAATGCCTGAATCCACTTTTTATTTTGTCAGAAATTTGATTATCATTCATAGCTGATTCAAATTTATTCCAACCAATGCATTCCCAGAAGCAAAAAAAAAAAGTATCAGATAAAGGAGGAAATTATTCTACTCCTTCCCAGATCATGTAGAAATTCGATATAACAAAGATTCGGACTACTTTGAAAACAGTAAGCCAATAAAATAATATTATTACCATCAGTACAATAGTGCATAAGTTCATGAAGCCTGGCAAGGCGTTTGGTATTGTTTGCAGGTGATGGAAGAGGGAATTTAAGAAGTTCCATCAAAGGCAGCTTTTCCATCATTTCCTCTTCAATCTTTATTGGATGTAAACCATCTTTTACCTTTAGTGAAGAGAAACATGAAACTTCACTTTGTGCTATTGAAAGGAGGAACATTTCATATTTGGGGAACATAAAAAGTGCTCTTTTGCTTTTTTTCTCTATCTCTTCGGGGCATTAGAATGACACTACTGCTTCTAGGGGAGAGGATTGGTGCTGCGCTTCACATACTCATTTTGCTTCTTACTTTTTTGAAAAGCAAGACCAGATTTAAGTGTGGTGTCCTAAAGTATACAATTTTAAAAACATATATTTTGGAAAATGAAAATGTAAAAACCTGATCTCTAGATCTACATATTTTAATAACACAGGGTTAATATGAATTAGATATGCTGGTGATAGCTTCTTCACTTGTGATATTATTATGATATCACTGTAGGAATGTTGATTGATTGTCGTATAACATTTTGTGTCATTTTGTAAGTCCTATTGTAGGATTGTCTATTGATATTTCATAAGCAATGGTTTTAGAAATAAACAATAACATTGCAATGATTTTTTGATCTCTCAGCAGCTTTTGACCCCATCCACCATGGTATCCTTCAGAGATGACAGTATAGTAAAAACTAATACAAACTAAACTTAGAGAAAAAGAAGAGAAAGAATAAAAAGTGCAGGAAAAAAGATAAAAGAAATATATATAAAGAAATGACTCCCAACCTTCATAATGAGTAGACAAATTTAGTAACTTTTCACCTGCTATAAGGTTACAGATATCTCTTCATCCCATATCCCATCCCTTATCAATAAGTAAATCTATAAAACATCAACATTTGAATCCTGGTGTCAACCATAAAGGTTGCCAGAACTTTAAAAAAAAGTCTTAACATTCTTAATCTTTAATTCAATCAGATATTATCATAGGATTTAATTTCTCTTCAATTCTTCTTTATCCCATTGCACAGACTTCTTTGAGGCTTTAACAAGCCTCTTTTGTGGATCCATTCTCTTAGCTTGTCATTTGTTTTTCCTATTTAATTTTTAAACTTCCAAACAGTTTCTTTTGCATATCCAGTAAAGAGTCCTTTTTCAAATCATTCTCTTGCCTGTCATTTGTAGTTCCAGCTTCTTATCTGCAAATAATTCCTGTTTTTGTGCTTTTGCCTTTTTCTCTGCTATCTCCTGCTACCCTGCTGCTGAGACTGGTAGCAACAAATCCCCCGCCTGTTTAAAACCAGGTCATCATTTACTGTTAGTATCAATTAACATTTTTGCTAAAATATTGTGTCTTGAATCTGGATCTTTAAAAAGTATACTTAAGTTTTACACTTAAAAATATTTAAACACTGGTATCTTTTTTCTTATTTTTTTCTTGGTTGATCTTCATGATTTTTAGCTTTTGTTTTGATTTTCAAGATAAAGTAGAAAAACAAGATAAAATAGTGCTCTTAAAAAGCAGCTTATGAGCCATTTTAGCATTTTACATTGGTAAATCTAATCACATTGTATAATAAATTTATTATTAGATTTATATGAGCATAGATTTTGCCTTTGAAGAGAACTGAAGGTACTTACAATTTATGCACTCCTTTGGAATTTGGCAAATTTATAATGAAGTATTCTTTCTTTCCTTTTCTCTACTTTTGTATTATTGATAGGAAAAAGGCTAAATAAATGTTATATTATACCTTTACGCAGTGTAGTTTCCGAGACAAATTATCATGATAGTTTAGTATTAGAGGCCCTCTGGGAGCCGTAACTTTTTCATCATTTTCAGGATAAAAGGAATTATACAGCTCCTGTCAAAGGAAAGGAAGCATGCATTTATAAACTTATTTATAATTTTTATAAAAGTATTAAATCAGCATTAGACAATACAAACCATTTTTTCATTTTCAGGAAGGGCAAGTGAAGGTAGAATCGAAACAATATGACTGGCAATGGTATGATCCAACCCATCTTCACGTGGCTGTGGAATCACTAGGCTTGGTGGTGTAAGATTTTCTTCTGATGCAACAACCTAGCACAAATAAATATTTTATTTCATTATTCCAATGCTCTGAGAGAAAAAAATGTTGAAAGAGTGATTAAAGATATTACAGTAACAGAACCTGTAGCATCAATATTGACTTGTCCCAGTCCATACACCTAGACACCAATGGGATTTATAATGCAAACCCCTATTGTCATTCACCAGGTTCCACTTGTAGAGTAGGTTGCCAGCAGACAACTTTCAGCAAAGTCCAACTGAATCAGAATCCAGGGAGGCATGGCACAAAGTCAGAAGGCAAAGCATAAAGTTCAAAGTCAAGGTACAACATCCAAAGTCCAGAGTCAAAACATTGGTTCAGTAGGTCCCAAAACACATCATGCATGAAATGCAGGAACACTTCTGATGTGTTGGTAAGGCCAAAAGACATGACGGAATACTCAAAGTGGCCATACTGAATCCTGAACACAATTTTCGTTTCATTTCCTTCCTGTATGTACATCAAGTTGTACATTCCTCTCAGGTCCAGTTTTGTGAATATTGTGGCTTGTCTCTATCCCTATTTCACATTCTTGTCAATGAGGTCCTGAAGAGCCACTAGCTCCAGCTCTGATGACTAAATCCGTTCCACTGGCAGTTTTGCATCGGGGACCAAATCAATGGGGCAGTCATAGGAATGGTGGGGTGGCAGTTGCTCCCACTTCCTTTTTTCCAAAGTCAGCGGCATACTTTGTGATTTTTGAGGGAGGTCTAAGGGGTTTCCAAGGGACTTCTCCAGTGCACAAACATGGAATCTATGGGGGTGACACTTGGGACTTTTAAAATTAATTGCCCTAGCTGACCAGACAATACACGGATTATGGGCTTGGAGCCATTCCAGGCTGAACATCAGTGGGAAGTGAGAAGCAACCATCATTTAAAACTCCAGCCACCCCATATGGTTACCAATATGCAGGTGGATTGGTGCAGTTGCTACTGCCATGGGTCCTGAACAGAGCTACTGACCATCAATCATTTCCACAAACAAAGGCAGAGCCATCTCGTGTTGCGAGATGTCCCATTTTGCTGCAAAGTCACCTCCAGGTGCAATGCATATAAATTCCTCTCTCCTTGGAATGGTCAGAATGACCAACACCACCAAGTGCCACATCATAGTAATTTGGGGTTGCTGAGCCAAACGTGCCATTAAGGACACCCAACCTATTGATTCCTCTAGGCCAGGCATCTGACATTTCCCGCCATCACGGGTATTGCCTTGGTGGGATATTTGGCAGTCAAATGACCTGGTACCCTGCAATACAGGCAGAGCCCTTCCTGACAGTCTCGAACCCTTTCAGAGTGCATGAGGCAATGGTTGAGCACACACACACACCACTTGCATATCTCCTCTCACACCATCACAGGGCCTGAAGACCCCACTTCTTGCTTTCTTGCTTTTCTTTGTTGTATTGTGTCGACCATCAATTCAGAGCCACAGATGCATCAGTTCCTAAAGAGTGTTGGGGCAATCCGTCCTGGCAACTCATCTAGTAACTTCGAGGAGAGCCTCTCCTAAAACTGATCAATGAGGGCCTCCTCATTCCATTTTAAGTCCTGGTTTACTAGGCAAAAGTAACTGATATCAGCCACCAGGCATTGTCCTTGTTTCAGCTCCTGCAGCTGTCTATTAATATTTGGGCCTTTAGAGGTTCCTCAAACATACTTTTCAGTTGTACACAGAAGACTGCAAAATTATTCAGGAGTGGGCTGGGTTGCATAAGAAGCAGGGTAACCCACTTGGACACTAGCCCCACTAACAGGCTGATAATACATCTCACCTTGTCCTGGTCTGTCTGAATGTCCTCTGGCCACAAGTTAATAAACTGACACTGCCTGAAAAACACCAGGAATTGCACAAGCATGCCATTGGACCTATCTGACACAGAGACTGGGCATTTGCACCATGGCTGTGACAGTCTGGAAGCTTGCATGTGGGCCAGTTGCGATGATAAAAAAGCTACTTGTTGAACCAGCTGGGCATGATCAGTGAGGAGCTACTTCATGTTGGCTGGGTGCAGGGTACTGTCTCCTGGAGAATATCTTGGGTCAGGGACAAACTGTCCTTTTCCAGTCCATACAAACACATACCAATGGGGCTTAATGTGTTTATTGAACACCACAAACCCCTATTGTTGTTCCCCAGGTTCCACTTGTAGAGTACCTTTCAGCAGACAGCTTTCCAAAAAGTCCAACTGAATCATAGTCCACAGAGACAAGACATGAAGTCAGAAGATAAAGCATGAAGTCCAAAGTCAAGGCACAAAGTCCGAAGTCCAGAGTCAATGCACAAAGTCAGGAGTTAAGGCACGGTCTGAAATCAAGGCACAAGTCAAGAGACAAGGCACTAAATCTGAAGTCGAAGCACAAAGTCTGAAGTCCAGAGTGAATGCACAAAGTCTGAAGTCAAGGTACAAGGCAGGAGACAAGGCACAAAATCCGAAATCAAGACATGAAGTCCAAAGTCCAGAGTCAAGGAACAAAGTCTGAAGTCAGGAGTCCAAGGAGTCACAGTGAACATGCATGGCAGCATGTGAAAACCTCAACCCCAAACTTCAAGCTAAATAGGCACCTCAAGTGCACTTCTTTAGGAAGGGGCAAGATTGCTTCCTTGCAAGTAGCCTCACCGACCACTGTTGTGCTTCTCTCTGCTCTGCTCTACTTGCCTTGGGATCCAGCAAGGGAGGCAATTCATCCTCATCTCCACTGACCGGCTGCAGCTGTGTCTCTCTTTGGCCGCACCTCCAGCCAGTATCCATACTTCCTGGCTGCAGTTGCATATCTCCTCCTGCAGTCAGCCACTTGTCTGGTTGTTAGTATGCATGCTCTTCCGACATTCCTGGCATTTTCTGTTCCTGACTGTCACTCCTGTCACAGAGCCTTCCAAGTCCTCCTACAGTCCTCTTCATCCCTCTCTAAAGTCCTTGGAGTCTGCTCTTCTTTGTCTTCCAAGCTGGCACCAGGGAAGCCATTACAAATATTGTATTATATTATTATTTAGTATACCATAATAGAATGTTAGTTAGAATTTTTTCTTAATCCATACAGGAAGGGATGTATGAAAAATGTCAAATTACCAATAGAAAAAAAGTTATTCATAGATATCATGGTGATCAGAAAAGTAATATTGAAGAAAAGATATCCCCTATATTTGAGGGACATACTGGAGAGAAGCTAAGCCTTGAAAAACAACAAAATAATCAACAGCAACACACAACACAATAAATCCAAGATGAAAGTGATCCACTTGAAAGATTCAAGCAAGAGAAAATCTCTCAAACTGTTCCACAAAACCAATTCTTCCAGATGTATATTAAACAAAACATTCATTCATTCATTCATGACAGCGTACATTAAAAAAAGATAATAAAAACTATTAAAAATTCAACAATTAAAACACAATCAAAGTACTAATAATAGAATAGCACAGAATGTTATTGTTATGGGCAATAAAGTCATCTGACTAATTCACCACCACCCGAGGACCCCCAAGCCTGTTGGCAGAACTATGTTTTAAGGCAGTGTTTTTCAACCTTTTCACAGATTGTACCACTTTTAGGACATGTCAGTATTTGAGTATCACCAGTGTTTAGCAAGGTGTCAAAAACTTAATGACTAAAAAGAAAAGGGAAAAAGTACTGATTTTAATTTCTTTGCTGGCGTTTCTTTTGCTGAATCACTTTCCCTTTGCACTGACAAATTTATCTATGTTTATTAACCACCTTAGTGGTTAGTTATTAACCACCTTAGTGGTCAGGTGGCTGGTCGGCCCTTTTTCTTCTCTCTCTCTCCTCTCTCTTTCTTTCATTGCCTGCTGGGCAATGAAATTCAACAGCCTCTGCTCATTTGTGGATCTCTCTGCTTGTCTCACAGAAACCTCCTCTTCTCTCTCTTTCTTTGTCCCCTTCTCTTTCCCCGTCTTTTTTTCTCCCTCTCCTGCCAAAACCTCCTTTTATATCCTCTTCTCTCTTCCCCCTCCTCCTCCTTTTATTCCTCTTTTTCCCCCTTCGCCTTTTATATCCTCTCCTCTCTCCCTCCTTTTATATCCTCCTGTCTCCCCCACTTCCTTTTATATCCTCTCCTCTCTCCCTCCTCCTTTTATATCCTCTCCTCTCTTCCCCTCCTCCTCCTTTTATATCTTTTTTCCCCTTCTCCTTTTATATCCTTTCTCCCTCCTCCTTTTATATCCCCGTCTCCCCCCACCTCCTTTCATATCCTCTCCTCTCTCGCTCCTTTTATATCCCCGTCTCCCCCCACCTCCTTTTATATCCTCTCCTCTCTCCCCCTCCTCCTCCTTTTATATCCTCTCATCTCTCCCCTCCTCCTCCTTTTATATCTTCTCCTCTCTCCCCTCTTCCTTTTATATCCTCTCATCTCTTCCCCTCCTTTTATATCCTCTCCTCTCTCCCCCCTCCTCCTTTTCTCTTCTAGGTGCGCCACTCTCTGGGGCTCAGGGAAAGCTCCAGCATCAGTCGCTATCCCAGTCTCACTCTCCATGCAGTCACCCACTCCCTGGCTGGCCACTGCACATAGCGTTGATCAGCTGAAGCTGCACACACTGATTCTCTCACCCCAAGGCCTGTCTGCTACTCTTGGAGGTAGCAGAGGCTGCCAGAAGCACTGATCAACTGGACCTGTGCACGATGATCCAGGGCCCTTAGCACAGCCAAAACAACACAGCAGCTCCATCTGACTCTCCCCCAGGCCTGTGTGGCACTGCCACCACTTGAGTTCATCAGCACTGTCGCCGCTTCAGCTCATCCCCTCCCACTACACTTGTCTAGGTCGTGTACCCCCTGCCAGGTGCCAAAGTATCACTAGAGGTATACATAACACCAGTTGAAAAGCTCTGTTTTAAGAGACTTCCCAAAGACCAAGGTGGGTCTGTCTCACCTTGGGGAAAATGTTTTACTGAGCAGGTGCCACATCAGAAAAGGCCTATCTTCTGGGTCCTTAGTCAATAGAACCCATAGAATACCTCTTCTGATGAATTTAATGGGATGGGTAGATGTATTTGGATGGAGGTGGTCCTTTAAATAACCCAGTCCTATGCCTGCTTTAAAGTCAAAATCAGCACCCTGAATTGCACTCAGAACCAATCCAACCTATGCAGCAGAGATGTCCCATGTGATATCTTAGAGATACATATAACTGTCCGCACCACTCCATTTTGCACTAGGTGAACTTCCAAATATTCTTCAAAGGCAGCCCCGTGTAAAATGTCTGGTCCGGGAACAAAATTGGCACACAACAGAAGATTTAGCATCCATTTAGTTCTATCTCTGCAATACTAATATCAAGTCAATTAAAACCTATTATACCCAATAACAGAAATGTAATCTAGTAGTTATTAGGAGAAAGTCTTCTGAGTATTTCTCAATGGCGGTGGGGTTTATCAAAAGGATTACTATATATAGTTGAGAAGTGCTTAATGTTACTTAAGACAGATTCATGATCCATTACCCAGTGGATCATGAATCCAGTGGATTGAAAATTTGGTTATTTAAACTCTAGATGTAGATTATGCATGGATAATTACAATGAACTATTGTTATTTTTATTTGGGCTATTATATGATACAATATTATAAGGCTGAGAAGTCCTTATACATGCAATGTAATTTATCCAGTTTTATTGCATTGTTTTTTCTATATATATCTTCTTTGTTTCATTTGTTGTCATTGCGGTTTTTTCTCTCTTTTTATAAAACCCAAGTTTAGGAACAGAGAACACTTTGTATCATAGTAATTAGCACATACAGACAACTTGCAATCCATAGGCTGCATGAAGGTGAACAGCTCCCAGAGTACACCCAAAAATTTCATGGTGGACATTTAACACTTTTTTGTCACATTCTGACAACACTTTTTCTTGTTTTATTTTCCCACTAAAAATGCATCCTTTCCCAAAAGGGCAAGAAAATTGGTCTGCAATCCCTGATGATTTTTCCAAGAATCATGAAACATATCCCATCCTTTCAAAGGCCAAAACATGATAATGGGCAGTTCCTGGCAGAAAAAAATGTCTGATGCACCACTACACCAAAAACTCTTAACTGTGACTTGATATTCCAGCATTTAGCAAAACTGGAAAAGGGAGTCAACAGATCCAGCAATCTTGCTCCCAAACCAGGTAAAAATGAGAAACCTCCATTCTCCTTAGCTATTTGGCTTATCTATCCACACTTCAGTAATGCAAAATTATTCCCCCTTCCACTAGCAGAGACCTTTAATTAAAGATCCTATATGTCCTTTAGCTGCAAGTATATTTTAATAATCATAATTTCCAAATGAATTATAGCCTATGTTTGCTTACCTGTTGCAACATACACTCCAGTAATAAGGCAACAGAAACCACCTCATCAGGGACACAACTCAGGAGATCATTGTAGTACCTCATGTCTACATCTGTAATAATAAAACTATTTTTAATAAAAATAAAATTTAAAAATGTGTTTAAAACATTTAGGTATATAGAACTACCAATAAGTGCACTCTGAATGTATTACACACCTGTGAATATTCATGCTTCTCAAAATAAGAAGGTGATTCCCTTTGCAATGGGCCCTTTCTTTTGAGGCCAAAGAAGGCAAACTCTGTTTGAGTAATTGAAAGGTTTTGCTCTCAATCTACAGACAATAATTCTTTAAACAACTATATTAACTTAAACAACCTTAACAAAAGGAAGAAAACCTTCCTGAAGGTGGGCAAGGCATCAAATCAAGACTTTTGATTCACAATGGGTGAGCCTTATGATGGAAAGCCAGCAGTACAAACTCTTGAAAGATTATGATATGCTTGGTCTGTAACTACCTGAAACCACTTTGGGGAAGATGTCCTTAAAATATAAAGATGAATTGGTCTATTGACTCAATTTCCCTACATGAGCTCCCCTGTTTCTTCAAGTCATGCTGCCTCTTGTTTTTTCTAAGAGGATGAAACTGACAAGCAATACTAGCAAATATTCAGAAAACTTCCAATCCATTCAATATTAATCATTGCTGCAATGAAAACTTACTTTACTGAAACCATCATATTCATGCCGTGTTATCGAAGTGATAAAAGACTTGTAACTATCTGCAAAAAGCATAGGGAATGGCATTGTTGGACAGGAAGAACTGCTGTCATAGCAATGGCCAGGATTTGAGCAGTTTCAAGAAACTAGAGAAAATAAAAGAAGTACTGACCTATATTGCATTGGTTTCATGCTTTGGTCTATCTTATTGGGCTGACACTATTACCCAGAATCACTTCTCATGAGGTGGACAGCTATATAAATTTGATTAATAATCAAATAAATAAATATGACAGAAATCGTGGGTGTCAGTTGTGATTAATTTGCAGGAAATCTTGTGAACAAAATAATTCATATTTATTCCAGCTTTAATGCCATAACTTATCAAAATCAGTGCCTATCTCTTCAACTTTTTTAAAAAAAAATCTATAAGGTTCTTGAAGAGCTGAGAGACACCATGTTTTCTTAATCCTTTCCTATCCAAATTGTCAGAATTGGACTGAATTACCAAAGCAGCATTAGTGTCACTGAGGAATGATTAAGTTTCAGCAACTTTATAAAGGATCCTGCTTTTTCCAAAAGTACATATGAAATTTATCCTAAATATTTATATATACTACTATTTTCAAAATTTGAGGGCTGTTCATAATCAAACAACAAGAAAACAATCCCTAATATGGCACTTCAGGTTTTTTTTCATACAGAGACCTCTACAGTGCTAAATTCATTATGGGAATTATTGAGCTCAACTGGGCATTTTAAATTCAATCATTACATCTTAAATTCAATGAGTGCCACAGTTGCTGTTAACTGCCCATACTTATCTTATTGTTAGGGATTGTTTTCTCATTGTTTGATTATGAACAACCCTCACATTTTTAACTTTTAACTTTTTTAACTTTAACTTCCTAACTGCAGGGCCAATTTGGTGTAATAGTTAATAGTGCTGGACTAGAAGTAGGGAGACTCAGGATCCAATTCTCCCCAACCAGAAAAGCCAACAGTTACTTTCTCTCAGAGCTAGACTGGGAAATAAAAAATAATAATAATTCTACCAGGTACTAGCAAAGCATTTTCAAAAATATTGCCAAAAACCCTGAATGGAACTGTCCCACCTTTCCATGTAGTCATTAGGAATCAAGACTGATTTACAGGACCATAACAACAATCTTATTATAAGCAACGGGTTCTTACTGTCCTTTTTGTAGCCTGGAAATACAGTATACAGTATCTGACAACACACTTAAGCAATTTGGCAAACTAGATTGCAGGCTTCGTGTTCTAATCACTTGCAGAAGGACTTGGTAGCCCCTCAAATAGCTCTAGGAGTATGGGTTTGTTACCTAAAAACCATTTTGTAGTTAAGTATGAAATATGAGCAGTCAATGCCTATTGAAAAACAGGTATTACATTCTTTGAGGGATTCCGGTTTGTCTTATCTACCTTCTGGAGTATGTCAGTAATCTTCATAAAGTTTACTTTATGCTTATAAAACTAGAGAAAATACTTTCAGCAATTAATGATCAATGGCAAAAGGGACAGAAAATTCTGAGGTTCTGTCAGGTTAATATAATTTACATAACTGTATAAGGAGCCCAGGAATGAAAAGACTATCAGAAATATTCCCATGGCTATCACAAAGGTTTGCACAATGTTATACTGAATACTTTCCCAGGTCAGTGAAAAGGAATTGTTCTTGTAATTTTTGCACAATAACGCACGTTATTTTAAACATACCTGTAGTTAAAACTGGGAGTGCAACAGGCTCATCTACAGCCTGTTTTTTTTTTGTAGGAGTAACTGGAGTAACTGGAGTAACTGGAACAGTAGTATGTACCTAGTGAAATAAAACATAAATTAAAACAAAATAACAGATGTTTATGCTTTAATCTTATTACAGCCGAAATAAATAAATAAAATTATGTGGGCAAGCCCCCTAGTGTTCCTTTGGGCAGACTGAGGAATGTAACTGAATTTAAGATGTGATTAAAGTTTCTTTGAAAGAATGCATGGTATCGGCTTCCTTTAAAAGAAGCAACTGGGCAATTGCTCCTGCAGAGGCCATATCTTGATTCAGCTATAATTAACACTCTTCAGGGTTCAAAACTGGGCAAGATTATCTCTAGCAAATGACTTTTATCTGGACTAGGAGGGAAGAAATACACCCCTTATATTCCTATTAGACCTCTTAATATTATGTGACTATATTGACCATGGTTTTCTCCTGGATCACCAGTGACAGCTATAAGTGGGATTACTGCTTTATAATGGTTCAGCTTCTTCGTAACAGAGCAGCTCCAGACAATAATTATTGGCCAGGGAAGTGACTCTGTCCATGGTCATACTATGGCTACTGCTATGCCTCACTTTTCTCCTTCCTGTTATTCAACATCTAGGTAAACCTGTTGGAAGAAGCAATCAGTCAGTTCAGGATGATGTATCATCAATATACTTGGAATTCATTGCTCAGTCAGTGTCCCAGCCTGAGAAATGAGAAGCAGGAACCCAAAGCAGACCTTCTTGGGATGGATGTATGACAATGGAAAAGCTTGCTCCCAATGCAGATTCCCTTCACACAGCTGAGCTTCAGAAAGGTATTATAATCAGGATTTTTGCCCCCAGATATTTGAGGTCTAGTAGTTGAACTTGGGCTAATTTTTTTTGTTGGTTTTAATAGTCTATACAATTCCTTTATTTAATATAAATTATTTTTAAAGTAATTTTTAGTTGAATGTTTCTCATGGGGATTAATGGCATTTTTTATTTCTTTATCTGTTTTCTGTATACTACCTATCATTTTGGAATATGGTGCTGTATTAATTTTATAATAGTAAAATAGATAAATATCCTGCCAGTCTAGCAGGTTGTTAGTAATACCCAGTAAATTGAAGAAGCAATTCAATAGTAATTGCTCCATTACTAGATTCAGCTCTGAACTATGATATTGGTCTTAACAATATCCAAATGTTGGGATTTTAAGCAAAATGGGTTTCCAAAACATAAATTACAATATTTTTGGCTATTTACCACAAACCTCTAATTTACTCTTCCTTTCTACCATTGGTACATTAATAAATCTAGTCGATTCCAAGTAGTGCTGGTATTGTCTTTTCCAATCCAGGCAGTCATACATTAAACATGCGACATTTTCAAAGATGTCTGTGCCAGTTTCAAGCTATGCAATGGAAGACAAAGAAATGTAAAGACTGAGTTAACAATAATTATTTGCTTATTCATTTTATATTGCAGCTTTCTATTGCTCTACTCAGGTGACTACTTAAGTAAAAGCAACAGGCAAATGCAGTGAAATTTTTAGCAACAATACACATCCAATTTAACAATATAATGAAATATGATTTTTGTGCTGTTCAGATTGAACAGCTCCTTTTTATTTGGAAGAATTATAATAAACAGTTATTCCATCCATTAGTATTGTACACAGCTGTCAGTTTAATCTATTATAATTCAAGAATCCAATCTCTTAGGGTTAGGTCAGCATCAACTCAGACAGCAAAATGGACATCGTCAACAATTTTTGAGTGCTTTGGTATGGTTAGGAGGGCACTGACTTTTCCAGGCTGCCCATCTATGTTTCCTGGTAAAATACATGGGAAAATCCCATTGGAGAACAATTCCACTTAGGATTAGGGTTAGATCACCATGAACTCAGACAGCAAAAGGAACATCGCCAACAAATTTGGAATGCTTGGGTATGGTTTGGAACACACTGGCTTTTCTAGGCTGCCCTATCTATCCGTTGCCTGGTAAAATACATGGGAAAATCCCATTGGAGGAAAATTCCACTTAGGGTTAGGGTTAGGTCACTATGAACTTATAGAGGAAAATGGGCATTGCCAATAAATTCAGGGTGCTTGGATATTGTTAGGAAGGCACTCACTCTTCTAGCCTGCCCTATCTATGTTTCCTGGTAAAATACATGGGAAAATCCCATAGGAGGAAAATTCCAGTTAGAGTTAGGGTTAAGTCACCATGAACTCATAGATCATTGCTAAAAAGTATTTTTTTTCCAACATCCATTGTGGAGAATTTTGTCAGGGGAAATTCTTTTGATTTGTAAAGGAAATATGCACATGATCTTATAGGAGAAGAAATGGGTATCACAGATATTCTTAGGCAATTAGTTTCTTCCTTCTGGATTGCATATCTGTACTATTTCCATTTCTAAATCTGGTTATACATGCTTATTTCGGTTATGTCCACACAAAGTTTGGAACATTTTCAAATATTTTATTTCACTTTGATGTATTAAATACTGTAATATATCTTCTTTATCTTAATTTGCATCATTTTCTCCTATTATGTCATGCAATTTTTTTGATAATAAACTTTTTCAGGATGTATATGAGAACGCAGGAAAAATAATAAAGTCAATAATCAGGACCAGAAATTATTCAATGATATCACTGTGAACATCAGTGGAGTACACAAAGCTTGAGAAATTAAGCTTAGAAGCACCCCTCTTGCATATACTGTGGCCCATTAGAGAAAAATCAGAAGCAGCAAAATTCTAAAACTCTATTTCACCTAATCCATTATCTGCCACAGTGACAGGCACATTTCCCCTTAAAATGCTTACTTACCAGGAAATACAGTCATTGCCAGTAAGCAAAGAAAGTTTAAGATGTTAGGATGATGGACCTGAATTAGAGACAAATGTTGAAACACTTAATGCCCCTAAACCCAACAAGGATATCCTTTTGTATAAGAACAGGCTACTAACCACCAAGTCATTGTTGCTCCAGTCAGCAGGAAAGGAAACCTCTTGGACTTTGTGATACAGTCTAGCTATCTGAAAAATATTTGATCCTGGTTTTCCATTGTTCAGGATTGGTTCCACATATTTCCAGAATGTTTCCAGGTCTTTATCTGCTTTTTGCTTCTTTTTGTTTTCAGCTTCTACAATTTGAATTGCATCAGAAGCAAATTAATATACTACATATTTGTATGATCATGGCGAAAATGTAATATACCTCTGGAATACCTTGGTAAAAAGAAAACTAAGGTTTACTCACTCCTGCTACTAATTTAAGATTCATTTCCCATTACCATTAAACACACTTAAAAAAAATGTCTTAAGCCCATTTAATGATAAAAGAAAGATGATATAAAGAAAGATGAACCACTAGAATGCATTCACCTGGAGTACTGCAGTATTTTTTTTGTTTAAAGTGGAGCATAAACTTTCAAACTGTATGCATGGAAACCCAGCTTTATCCCTTCCAGTGAAACAATAGAACATCAGTGTCATCCTATATTTCACCACACTACTACCGCTATGACTACAATACATAACAGACTGTGAAAATTATTTTAAGAAGAGAAAGAAAAATGTAACTGAGGTGCTGGCAAGAGGAAGAAAAAGCCACTATTTTTGTGGGGGAAGGTGGGGGAGGTATGTTTGCTTAAAATATATGGTTTCTATAGAAATCTGTAGACATAATTACTTCCACAAAAAGGAAATATTAAGCCATTAGTGAAACACCAGTAGAGAAAATGTTGTATTAGTAGTTTAGTTACGACTGCAGAAATAAATAAACAGATAATAAATAGAAATAAATAAAAATAAGGAAGTAAATAAATAGAAATAGAAAATAGTTAGGACTGCAGAAAAAGCCACTGCAATGAGCCTGCCTTCCATTAAGGACCTGTATACTGCACAAGCCAGAAAGAGGGCTGAGAAAATATCTACACATCCCTCACATCCTGGACATAAACTGTTTCAACTTCTCCCCCCAGGACACCACTATAGGGCATTGCATACTAAAACATGCCATCACTCTGCTAAACACTTCACTCCCACAACATTGTCTTATGCCTAAAGATATTTACCCATATAGTAGGGCTGTATGACTATTATCCTTCTCTTTTTCTCATCTTTCCTACTACCTTCTTCTATTGGTATCTTATGATTTATCACTTGTTGTTTGTATCTTATGATTTATGATTGTATCTTATGATTATGATCTAAAACATCACTTTGTCATTTGTATATACACTGAGAGCTTATGCACCAGAGACAAATTCCTTGTATGTCCAATCACACTTGGCCAATAAAGAATGTTCCAATTAAAGAACATCACCAAAACTTTGAATTGAGCCTGAAAAAAAATTGGTAAGAAGTATAAATCTTGCAGGAGACAGTGCCTGCAATCACCTAGCAATGTAACTCATTCTTGACTAGCTATAATTTTGGAAAAATCATTTCAAGGGAAGCTGCAAGTACTGCTTGTCATCATAATCCAATCTTAAGGGGGCATTACTAACTTATTGCAAACAATATCCTTTCAAATATATATGCACAACTTTCAGCTGCTGGTGATTCCTGAAGGATCAGCAAAGGATATCATGGCCTCACTTGAATTACTTGACTATATTTTCTGTTATTTTACCAATGGATGAGGAGTTAGTAAGATCCTTTACTATTTTTTAGGACAGAACCTCAGCTATCACTAATGCCTATTCTTTGATCTCTTTAGGACATGCCTCTATCACTAATTTCTATTATTTGTCATTTCCAAGGGAAAAAAACCCCAACAATAAGATAAAGATTTAAGTCTATAGAAAGATCAATAATAAATACATATCTTTTTAAAATTAATAAATATTCTACTTCAAATATATGTTTGTATTAATTAGTAGCCTACCTTCTGATGCAGAAGATGGTTCTTCCTGCGAAGTAGCTGTTTCTAAGTAGATCTGGAGTGGCTCATAATTGTCAGAAGAAATCTGAATGATGCTTCCAATATTGATGCCCAGATCAGACAGTATAGGTAAAAGTTGAGGATTGTGAAAACCAGTAATTATGAAATAATACTGAGCACCATCATCTGGTTCATCATCTGTTTGAAACATCACATAAACCCCATGTTTTGATTAAGATATATGGTTGGGATAATATCTGAATTGGCATCTTCAGTTGATGGTATATATATATATATATATATATATATATATATATATATATATATATATATATATATATATATATGTAGGTCTTTGGTTATTCGGGTTTTATATATAGTATATATTCATATATTGCATACATTTATTTAATTTATATGACCATCCATCTTATGTATATGACTTGGGGCAGCTACCAATTTAAAATAAATAAAAATCAAATAAAAAAATAACCAAAATTGTAAATAACATATATAGCATAAAATAGCAACTCACAACATAATGCAATCAATACAACCAGGAAATGGGCTCATCATATATCTGGCCCCAGGATTGATGGTAAAACTAGGTTTTTAATGCTTTGCAAAAAGCCAGCAAGCAGGGGCAAGTCTGATCTCTGAGAAGAGGATATTCAAGAGGCTTGCTGCCACAAACAGTATGTCCCAAAATAATGGCTGGATTTTTATTACAAATCATAGGAAGGTTAGAAGGTAGCATTTCGTAGCTGTACAATTATTTTATTTGCACCCATTCACATTTTTCTTTCATTTATAATAAATACCAGATATTACCTGGTAACATATTCAACTGAAATGGCTGATATTATTGTTCAATAGTCATATAGAAAATTTTATCTCTCTAGTTGCTGTATGGTTACTTAGAGCACTTGTCTCAAAAACCAGAGGCAGCCCTGGTTAAAAACTGAAAAAAAGTAGGTGGGCTAGAATGGAAAATTAAGTTCAATAAAACTAATCTAACAATTCATAACTCAAACTGCTGAAAGAGTAGCAATGCTGGGAAGTTTTATTACAATGCAATGCTTGGTGTCCCCCAAAAATATGGTGCAAGAAGCTATGATTATGTTTTTATTGGCTTGTAAACATACTTACACTATACCCAGTGGAAGATAATATAAATGAGTTTTATTGGGATATGGATGCAAGAGCTCAGTCAAGACATTAAATCATTTTTGGTGCTATGCAGTTTACTCAAAACCAAGCCATACTGACTTCAGTCGGGTTACCTCCAAATTAAGGTGTGAATAAAATTGCAAGCTTAGGCTATTTTTCAATTCACTGAATATCCTTCTGGTTCACATATTCAGAAATTTCATGATCAAGAGCTATATCTACCATGAACTTCTTTCTTGGACTTTATGGAACAATCTTAAGATGTGAACTTTGAGCATATGGTGGCATGTATTGATTTAGCTGAAACACCAATAACACAATCAATTATTTATGAGAGAAAGATGCCTTCTCTTTGCAAGCTGAAAAGCAGCATTGATTATGTTTGCCCCAAGAAAACAAAATCCACAGAAGTAATATTAGACCAACAAAAATTATATAATATTTGCAAGCTTTGCTGGGATCTCTGCATCTTGAATAAGATGGAAATGATTTTACCAAGTGGGGCTCAGTTGTTCTACCTGATAATGCCCAATTTGCACATTTGGAGACTTTTTCACTCTATATAAAAATGCAAACTAGTACAAACCTGGTTATTTGCTGATCAGATTTCCTTCCATACACAAAAACCTTTTTTCTCTAGGCTTTAAACATCTTGCCTAATGGACTACTCAAAGTAACTTAAACTCTTCCAACTATTTTAAGATTTGTGGTGAATCTTGTATAATATATAAACAACTTGAAAGAAGCCTGGAATGGAAACTTCTACTTTTAGGAGAAGATACAATAATGCGCTTTCTACCTACCAATGAATTTATAAAGTTCATCATCTTCCCCACGTCTTTTAAGTTTGGTATCCTTTTTAACGATAGTCGTTGATACATTTGGTGAATCGGCTGACCGCTTTCCTTTGCCTCCTTTTCCAGCCTTGGCACTGGCAGGCTTCTCTTTTTCCTTCTCCTTCTTAGGTTTTCCTTTCCCCTTTCCCTTCTCTTCTTTCTCCTTGTCTCGCTCCTCTAATGCCTGTTAAATCAGAGAAACTGCATCACTATGCTCTTGTAAATGTTAAGGAAAAGTTGTTATAAAGATCTAATCCACATATCAGCATTTTTAAAAAAAAAACAATCAAAGCCATATTTCAATTACAGCCCTTTCTTATAGTCGCAGAGAGACAAATTACTATACGGAATCATAGAAGATGCTTATATGGAAAAAGTAATTTTGTATCTGCATCTTGAAAGAAATGAAAAATTAAAACCATTATGAAGAAAATGAGTAATGTTTGAGATCTTCCTCACTATGACTGAGAATATTCTTCCTACAGAATACTGAAATATATCTTCCTTGGCAGTTGGCTCATTTGTTGGAACATTATGGAAAATGTTTACTACTCAATACACACACACACAAACTCATACACAGACACATACAGTTGGAAAGCACTATGTGTTCCTTTTTCTCTTAATGTTCATTTCACAAGTTTCACAAATTTAACAGTTCCTCACCTGCTCTGGCAATTTTTAGATATTTTTTTACCTTTCATTCCCATAATAAATATTAGCTCAATATTAAATATCATCTGAGCATAACATCAGCTTGTATATGATATCAATTTTACTATTACAATGCCTATCTATGCTTTATTTGTAACAAATTTTATTGCAAAGTTGAACAAAGGACCGATGGTTGGAGAAAAAAGCCAAAGGTACATTTAAAAATCTACTTTAAATGCACACATACTTCAAAGTATATGCATATATATAGCAAACAGAATATCCAGTTCCCCATTTGTTCAGATGAGAAGATACCATGGCACTGGAAGTAGGTTAATTTAGTTCAGTATTTCATACTCTGATATTGTCAGGACCCACCTCAACACCTCATCCCAAGGTTGTATAAATATTTATAGAAGTATATACCGAGAAGGCTAGATAAATGTTGTTGTTAATTGCGACGTGTCCGACCCATAAATATCACGGTATATGTATGGGGGAGAGTTTGGAAAAATAAAAAATTATTTAAAAAAAAAAACACCTCATCCCAAGAAAGCAGAACTCATGGAAGCAAGCTCTTTCAAAAGGAACTTTTACTAGGAGAAGCTGATGGCAGGCATACTAGACAGGATCTGAGGGATTCCTTTACAGATCGATAGTTTAAAGTATCCCCAAGCAAACACCACCTCATAGTTCATCCGGACGGTTCAAACCGGCCAATCCCCAGGTGTTGTCCATTGTGGGAAAGGGGAGATAACATCGGTCTGGCTCTGGTCGTAGCAGTGATGTTTAAATGGCTCTTCGCACCTTCTCTTGAGAGCAGTGAGATAAACCCGGCTCCGGAGGTTGCATTTCTTTCTCCCCCAGCCTTTGCTAGCTGACAGGTTAGGGCAGGGGTAGGCAACCTTGGCTCTTTTATGACTCGTGGACTTCAACTCCCAGAATTCCTGAGCCAGCATGGCTCAGCCTGGAAACCTCTCCCTTTCCCCTCAGCATGGCTGGCTCAGGAATTCTGGCAGTTGGAGTCCATGAGCCATAAAAGAGCCAGGGTTGCCTACCCCTGGGTTAGGGAGACGAAAGTTCAGAGAGATATACAATGCAGGAATGCGAAGTGTTACATTATAGCAATAAAGGAAGCTAAGGCGAAGTGTTACAGTGTAGCAAGAGGGAAAGAAGGCAGGAAAGCGAAGTGCTACATTATAGTGAAAAAGGAAGCTAAGGCAATAAACCCACACTCTGTTCCCCCCCCCCTCTAGGAGTATGGCAGAACCCAGGGAGAGGAGAGAATGGAATCAGGAAGCGAGAGAAAGAGAGGCAGGGAAGTATGAAATATGATAAATGTGGGTTCTGACAGATATATTCAGATGTGCTGCTGTTGGTTGGTTCTCTAAGCTTGCTCTTTAGCTTCTGAACATTTCGTATCAAGCTAGGTGACATCCTCAGGGGGGTTTTGGTTCAAGGGTCTTGTTTCAATTCTTCACCACTTTTATTGATCTCATGTGGTCATGTGGTCAGTGGGTTGTGTGATTGTGTGTCTTTCAATGTCTTTCTCCGTAGGTTGAGGATTTGTGGTCATCTCAGTTGATAGCTAGTCAGAGTTTGTGCATTCTTGTTTTCAGTTGTCATCCTATTTGCCCAACATAGAATTGGTCCTAGTTGTTGCATATGTTCTTATAGATTATGTTACTGTTCTCCTTCTGTATTTTGTTCTTGGTTTGAGACAGTTCTCATCCGAGCATTGATGTTGGTTTGTGAGCCACCATTATTCCCAGTGGTTGTAGAATTCTGGCCGTCATTTCTGATGCTTCTCCAACATATAGTAAAGTACGTTTCCATGTTGTGGTTGGCTGTGTGGTGTGACGGGATTAGGATGATGTGCATCAGAGTATGACCGGAATATGAAGTTTCTTGGGTAGCCATTGTGGAGAGAGACCTCCAAAAGGTGCTTTTCTTCCACTTTTCTTAATGTCTTATTGTCTTGGTGCTGCAATGTGTCCTGGCTCTTCTGAAGAGAGTCTGAATGCAACTATTCTTGTGTACAGTGGGGTGGCTGCTGATAAAGTTGAGAATTTGATCTGTGTGAATTGATTTTTGGTAAATGCAGGTTACTAGTTCACCACTATCCAGTCTTCTTATGTCAGCATCAAGGAATGGAAGTTGTTAATCCTTTTCTTCTTTGTGTGTGACTTTGATGCCTGTGAATATGTTACTGAGTAGGTGGTTTCTTCTTCCAACTTGGAGCGTTCAGTGATGACAAAAGTGTGAATGGCGGCTCACAAACCTACATCAATGCTCCGATGAGAACTGTCTCAAACCAAGAACAAAATACAGAACGGGAGAACAATAACATAAACTACAAGATTAGATGCAACAACTGGGACCAATTCTATGTTGGGCAAACAACTGAAAACAAGAATCCACGAACACTGACTAGCTATCAACTGACATGACCAGAAATCCATTACCTTGAAACCACATTGAACTGAGCAGCACCAGTTCAAATGGGATGGAACAAAAACCATTGGCCATGCTACCACACAATGCAGGAAAAGTCATCAAAGCCTGATATTCAACCAATAGATCTATCAACAAACATGTCAATTTGGAGCCAGCCTACCAACCATAAGGAGCTGTATCAATCAAGTGAACAACCAATGATGGCACCAATCACCTAGTCACTCCACACATAATGACCAGCCGATCACATGACAGATCACATGATATGACCAACCAATCACATGATCCACCAACTACATGACCACATGAGATCAATAAAAGCGCTGAAGAACTGAAACAAGACACTTTACCCAAAATTCTGCTGAGGATGTCACCTAGCCTGGTGACGAAGCATTTGGAAGCTAAACAGCAAGCTCAGAAAACAAACCGCGACCAACATCTACCATCCACGTTACAGATATTTTCTATCATTTCTAATATTCAGATATTTTTGCTACCAGATTGCTCTGATGTTTTGCTATCGGAAATGAACTGCTGCCAAATCCTGTCCTTTATTGATCATGGCGATTTATTTTAGTTTTTTAAAAGGCTCTGTGACCAACTCATTGAAACTTTTAATCAATTCAGAGTATTAATGTATACCACACAAGCAGGAAATTTCCAGCAATGCAGGGCTACATTAACCTTAAAGCTGTGAGGAACAAAGTGAGGAACAATAAGAAAAAAAAAGCACTGCAAAAAAGATTTTTTGTCCCCCAAACTGTTTTTCTTCTGTCCCAGTAACAGTCCAAACAGATACATGTCTATTCAGAAGTAAGGGATAAAGAATGCAGTAAGATTTATTCCCAAGTAGGTCTTTACAGGCTGGAAACTAAGCTACCTTCTTTTCAGCAATCCTTCTCTGAAGATCTTGTTGTTTGATGCAAAGCATTTGATATTTAATTAATTTTCCAATCAAAGTTACAGGAAGTGTTTCCCCAGCATCCAGAATGCTTTTTGCCGTTTCTATCACCTGCAGGGAGAAACAAAATGGTAACAGCTTAAACATTTGGCTCAGTGCAAATAAAATGCAATATCAAAAAGACAGTACTACCAAAGAGGTTTGGCATCACCCAAATCCCATCCATGTATGTAACAAAGGTAAAAAAAAAAGTTTTAATACTGCTGAGAAGATGCCCAACAAGAAATTGTGGCAAGAAATTAAATTGGCTTTCAATGAAACTGCAATTGAACACGATGTCAACGCTGCTAGCATTGGATGTTCCTGCTTTGACAACTGATGAAAATGCAGCCATTTTCTCTATTCCTTTACAATGCTTTTTTTGCTTTAGAAATCAGATGCAGCAAGGGGGGGGTGGAATGTAAGCTTAGCTAGCCATAACATATTGCTGTGTGGGAACCCAAGGACAAGCTGATAACAGTTTGGCTGGGCTGTGGAGTTAAGGAGAAAGCCTGTACTTTAAGCTAATTGAGGAATGTGATTTATGACAGTTTATTGGGGGTGGGAATTGCACTTTGTTACTTTGTATCAGGGGGAAGGGAATTTAATTTTTGGGTTCAACTATGTAGTGCAGATACTTTGTTTCCCGAATAAAAGATTCTTTAAGGAAAACAATGCCTCAGAGTTCTTTTGAAGGGTTTCATCTATCGGAACCATGACACACATATCATACAAGAAGCCAGAGAAAAAGCGTTAAGTATCTCTCAGATAAATCTATCAAAACATCTGAGCAAAGAAAATAGCCAAAGCAGCAGGCAAACAGGCAATGAGATGGAATGCAGATTTCCAGACTAGCAAGGAAAGACAACAAAGTTTACTGGGACCAGCACTGCAAGTAGCTAGAAGAGGACTGCATGAAGGGCCACACCAGAAATGCATTGCACAAGTCAAAAGAACTCTAACACCATGTACTGCTCATTAAAAACAAGCAAGGAAAACAAACTATCTGACCAACAAAGGGTCAAGAACAAATGGCAAGACTATACAGAACAGCTGTATGCCAAGAATAAAGAGTCCCAACTTCCTCAAGATAATGAGGAAAAAGAAGCAATGAGCCAACTGCCAAACAAGGTCCCTGGCATTGATACCTTCCTACAGAATTGCTGAAGCTTATACCACCCACAACCATCCTAAACTTGTGCCAAAAATGTGGGAAACAAACATATGGCTACAGGAATGGAAATGTTTGTTCTATTGCCAAAAAAGGGCAACTCCAAAGACTGTTCCAATTACCGTGCAATTGCCTTCACCCATCACACTAGCAAGATTCTCTGTCAAAAGGGAATTACCAGATATTCAAGCTGGCCTCAGAAGGCACCATGGTCCTAGTGACCATATTGCAAATCTATGCTGGATCATGTAAAAATCTTAAGGACATTAAAAGAGCCTCTGCTTTATTGACTACAAGAAAGCCTTCCATTGTGTCAATTATGGCAAGCTGTGGAGAGCCCTAGAAGACCTGGGAGTGCAAAAACATCTGGTCAAGTTGGTGCAGCTGCTGTACAACATGATATGAAGACACTGATTGGATCAAGATAGAACAAAATTGTGGCAACATTGCATTCTTTCATGTTATTCAACCTACCTGTCAAAGTGATCATGAGGAAACAAGCAGTTGAACAATCATACACTGGAGAAAAATTAGAGGAAGGATCATCAACAATATTTAATATGCTGATGACACAATTCTCCTGTCAGAAATCAAAGGCATGAAACATTTGATCAAAAGAATTAAAGAAAGCAAGAAATATGGCCTCTTCCTGAACATCAAAAAAAAAAGAAAAAGAAACAAGCTCATGATCACTGTGAGGAATGGAAATGTCAAAATAACAATTGATAATTAAGAGAGAGAATATGTGCAAGAATTCACTCTCCTAGGATCACAGATTGATCAAAGCAGTGAATGCAGTCTAAAAATAAAACATCAAATCACACTGAGTTGTACAGCAGTGATGAGCATAAATCACATATGAAAAAGCACAATATCAGTCTGGTTAACTAAATGCAGATTATTACTCTTTATTGTGTTTACCATAGTTACCCATGATTGAAAAAAAAACAGAAAGGAGGAAAATTGACTTGTTCAAGCTGTGACACTGGGAAAGACTTCTGCATATTCCAGGGACAACAAAGGTGATAAACAAGGAAGTACTGGAGTATATACAACCAGATATATTGCATTCACAAAATTTTGCCTTATTTATTTCAGTCATGTCATGCAATCAAACTCACTGGAAAAGGCAGTTATGCTCAGAGTGATCTGTGGTAAAATGCAACAAGGTCCCTAAAAACATGGTGGATAGAATTATTAAAGCTGTTAATGTCAACCAGAGCATAAAACAACTGAAAAAAGCCATACAAAATTGGAAAATGTAGGAAGAACTGGTCCATAGAATTGCTAAGTACTGGACAGTTTTTTAAAGGATAGCAACATCATCACAGTACAATCAGGGACTTAACAAGATTATAGCACATTCTCAGTTTCTAACAACTTGTGGTCAGGGACCCAGTAGCTCACTCAGAAACCCAACCAATAGGCATCGTACTCTTCAATATATTGTTCATGCTATGGTACATATATCTTTATTTCCCTAATTTGCAAAGTAATATATTTCTGTGCATATAAAGTGTTAATTCCTCCCAACTCCAACTTCTGCTGTGCTGTGTCACAGTAACTTAAGATGGGGTGGGGGTGGGGGGTGGGATTGGATGGGCAAAGAATGCTAAGAGTTTATGCCAACAATAGGGCCAACTGAGGCATGAAGGTCACTTCAGCTGCTCTGCTATATTGGACAGCAGCAATAAAGAAGATGTTGGGGATGGATGATCACTTTAATGACAATGGCAAAGACATCATTTCACACTGCATGAGAGAAGGAAGCCAAAGTAAACACTCTTGTATTTTACCAAGAAAACCACATGGAAACAGAATATGAATGATTGATCTTATACTATCAAATGATAGGCCCCTCAGGATAGATTATATTTAACATGCTAAGGATCTTTCATAGTATTAATGTTATTTAAGATATGGCTAGATTAAAGCTTTTGAGAGGTCTGGTTGCTGATATTGCAGGAAAACAAAATCCAAAGCTGTAACGACATCATTACAGTGGGAAGATGAGACATTAAAAGCATGAACACAGAAAAGCTCTGCATAGTGAAAAATTAAACGAATTGACTATACATTGATATTTTAAGCACCAGTAAATTGAAATAGGCTGGAACTGGACACTTTTAGTCAGAAGATCATACTGTTTATTTTTCAAACCATACAGCAAGAACAGTATTTGGGATAACCAATGATTGAATAATATCAATTACGCTTCACAGACAATTCTTTAATATAACATTACCCAGGTTTATGCTTCAGCTACTGATGCAGAAGAGTTTAATTTGAAATTTATAGAATGGATTGGCACAATGTCATTCTTGTTGGAGACTGAAATGTAAAGTTGGAAATATTAAGAGGAAAATGTATGGCTGTATGGCTTAGAGAAATCAAAATGAGGCATGGGAATGACTTTAACATTTTCTGTCAATTCAATGATTCCTTCATTACTAAAATAGTCTTCCACCAACCAAATATACAGAAATCAAAACTATTATATTAGTGATGCAAGCAGATGAAAGAACTCATTTATAGCAGACATATACAGCAACTGACTTTTGAGACACATCATGATCTGCTCATGTATAAATTTCAAGTTAAAGTAATATGGAAAAGGAAAGCCAATCAGTTTCCACAATATAGTCTTGACAATATACCCACCATTTTCAAAGAGAACATGAGGAATCATTTTGCAGTCATAACCTTTATTAATAGGAAACTGGAGGAACTATGGAATTTATTTATATGATTTATATAGCCATCTATCTCACACAAGTGACTATGGATGGCAAATAAGGATTACACATACACACACACATATCATGACAAATAACCTCTGATGCCCAAGGATCAAAGAAATGAAAGAATGTGTTAAGGATGAATGTGAAGAGACAGCCAAAGATCAAGAAACAAAAGAAAGCAAAATGAATGCTAAAAAGAGAACAAAAGCCAAAACTAAAAAAGACGAATATCTTAGGAAAGAATTTAATGAAAAATTTCAGAGAGCTGTTAAAAGAGACAAGAAGCAATCTAATGATTTCTATAAAGACAGCAAAAATGGAAACAGACAAGAAAAACAAGGGAAGTCTTCCAAAAGATCTGAGAAAGCTATCAGAGTAGAGGTCAGATGCTGTATCTGGCTTTTGTACTGGGGCAATGGTAATGCCATCTGGATATGGAGGAAATTAATATCAGTCCGTTGTTACAGTCAGATCACTTTCTGAGTGCCAGGGTATTCTTCATGGCCACAAAAGCCCTATTGCAGGGAAGTAGGGCTATTCAATCAGTTCACTCCAAGGTACCTATTTGATTCTAGAAAGAGCTTGATTTTTTTCCCCAAGGTTTGTCACAAAACATGACTGAGGCCTTAGTCACTGCTGGAGATGAAAGGGTGACAACTACATTGATCAAATCATTGTGGGGTAGCCTTTCTTCCCCAACCCAACCCCACCCTGTCCATACCATACAGTACAGGGCAACCAACTTTCTGGGTGGTCAGGATTCAAGTCTGGCAGTGACCTTGGCATTGCTCATTCTAGTCAAAGATGTTTCTTGTAAAAATAAATAGATATGGGGGAATATTCCCTTCTTGATTCTATTCAACCTCTCAGAGGCACTCAGTAACATTGATTATACAGTGATAATTACTGGACAATCTATATGGACTAGGGTTAGGTGCACTAACACTTTGATGTTTTTTATGTTCAAATGTTTAGTAAGTTAAAATTTTCTAATCAGCTTACAAAGCTGGACAGATTAGACATATGAATGCATTAACCAAATAAAATATTGTTACCGTAAATGCCGGCGTATAAGACGACTTCCACGAGCGCTGAAATCGGCACCAAAGACGGGGGTCGTCTTATACGCCGGAAATATTGGTAGTTTCCGGCGTATAAGACGACGTTCTAGGAATGCGGCCCGGCTATAAAGATGGGGGTCGTCTTATACGCCGGGTCGCCTAATACGGCGGCATATACGGTAAGTAACTGGTTTTCAGTAACCACTTTAAAAGTAAAAATCAAAATATCACACATGAGATTATTAACTTCTGAAGTAAATGAGAAAAATCAATCGAACTAATAATAAAAATTAATAAAAATACTTTGTCTTACTTCATAAAATAAAGGTGTTTCTTTTTCTTTGACCTTCTTTGCTTTTACATCTACAGCTTCCATGATCTAGAAAGAAAATGGGAGCAAATGTAACAATGAACTTTCTGATTTCACATGTTCATTTTTTTCATATTCTGTAATTTACTCAGTTTATCCATAATGATCTGTAAAATGAATTTTATAATGATGTTGCACATTCTGAAGTGCTTCTTTTAATGTAGTCTTAATGAAATTAGAATGAAATTGTACTTTTTCTTTATTTAAAATACTTTTTATTAGAGATTTTAACAATGGTAAAAAATAATACAAATTGAAATAAAAAAGAAAAATGAAAAGTACTAAAACAAAAAGAAAAGGAGAAAAGGAGAGAGAAAAGAAAGAATATTTTAAAAAGTGATTTCCAATATTTACAACAAGCACAAGCAAACCTAGTACTTCTCTACTCCCTTCAATATTATATTACATGATCACTGTTCCCCTATATCCCATCCATATATCCATAAATTATTAAACATTTCTATGTCAGGTGCAAAGGATCAAAAGATCACACTGTTAAGTTTCAGTTCAAAAATTTAATGCTCAAGCCTATGCACAAGAATTTAGTTAACTAAAGTTCAGTACTAAATTGGCACCAGATAAGGGTCAACAGAATTCAAACATGGTTGGACCCGAATTGTTTGTGACAATGTAATGACTCCAAGGTGCTTAACTCTGCCCCCCACCCCAGCTCTGCCTGCTTGTCTATTAGTAACATTTCTCCTTATCTCTGTGGTTTTTTTCAATAGCTTTAATAACCAATTTCTTTTTTAAAAAAATATGTTTTATTGATTTTTAACATACACCTTAATATTTGGTAAACTTCATGTTGTCTGGGTTAATGTTTAAAAAGCAATCAATAACAATTTCTATAATTCTATAGTCCATATATAATAACTTTACTTGATTTCCTCTTCTTCCAATAATATTCTCTTTAGCCAATCTTAAATTAATACAGTTCTTATTTGAATAAATGACAATTAAATATAAACATTCTTCTCATGTTTCTGCAAATAATAACCACATCAGTATAATGCTTCTTTTCATTGATCATCTTGATGGCCTCGTCATAAATCCTGTTTACATTCTTATTTAAATTTGTTTTCCCCACTGTATTCAAAACATTCTTACTGGTTAAGATTTTCTCAAAATTAGTCACACTTAAGTATTTAAATCTTTTTCCTCATACAAACCATCACATTTTTATATTTCTCATATCTTAAAAGAAAATAAGAGCAAAAAGGAAAAAAAAGACAAAACAGAGAAAACATTTCTTTTATATAAACCATCCCAACATTTTTATATTTCTCATGTTAAAAACGCACACACACACACACACAAAATGAAAGGGGCTCATTCCTCTTAAACTAATCTTCATTTATATTCAAAATCTATTTCTTTAACCATATTCAAACAAACGTTTAATTTTTAAATACTCCCTCTGATAATTCCCATCATCTAATTTCTTGATTCTCATTTTAGCCTTTTTTTTTTGCCCAACATCTTTCTTGTTCAATATGCTTTGATGAATCAAAGAGTTTTCCCATAAACCTATAAATGTTATTGTAGGTACAAAAGGCAAAACAGGTTTTTTATAGGAAGGTTTCGCCCCTTCGTATTCATTGAAAATCTTTTCCTTTTTGTCTTTCTTGATTTTATTTATTATTTTTTGTTTCTCAAGATCTCATAGTTCTCCTGGCAAAATCCATTTTACCAAATCTTTTTTCTTGTCCTCAAACTTATTTTGTAATCTTAAAGTGTAATTTGTCTTTTCCATGTACAGAGTTCCCTGTAGATTTTTTTCCATCTGGGTTAAGTCCTGTTTTCTAGTATTGTTAAATTCCATGTTGAAATCTCTCTCCTCTGTCTCATAATCAGTTGTCTGTTTTCTCTGCTCACTCTTTATTTTTATTTTCTGAGAATTTTTATGTTGTAAAAACACACTGGAGATGTGTTCATTTATATTTTCAAGGTTATGTTTAATTTCCTCGTGGTTTGAGATTACTGTTGTTTGGATTAGTTGCAACATAGCATAGATCTCCTTCTGGAAATAATTTGTTTTTTCTTGGTATATCCTTTCTGCAGGTCTCTGGTTTTCCATGATAGCAAAAAATCAGGATTTTCCTTTCTCTGCAGATGGCTTTAGAGTCACAGTTGAGTTAGTATTTGTAATCCAGAAAGGTCAATGCTTCTTTTTTTTTTTTTGAGTTTATAATTCTCACTTTATAGAAAGGCCAAGATGTTTCCTTTTTTTATCACAGCTTTTCTTTGTTATTAAGATATTGAAGGTCATCAAGATCAAATTTATCTTTTCCTGGGCCTTGCCAGTCTCTGTAGTAGAGCAGCTGTTGTTGTAATATCTTCATCCATCACTAGACGTCAGCACCAGTTCTTTCAGTAATAAACACTTATTTATTTCTGTTTTGATGATATAAAAGGAAAATCTTAAAAGATTCCACCAATTTCAAACTTATCCAAATTAAGTTTTATATTCTTTTTATTTCAATATATTTCTATTCCCCCTGAAAGGTTTAATTTGCCACTTCTGTCTGCAGGAGGGTGGGGCAAAAGTCTCCCTCCTTCTCACTTTCAGAGGCTTTTTGCTTCTTGGGTTTTTTTTTCCAGGAAATCAATTTCCAAATAGAAGAGAGAAAATCTAGACTCAGAATGTAAGCTAGCCTCTTCTCCTGCTGGTTTCTGGAGGGCTTTTCCCAAACTGATTGGATCGACTGCCATCTCTCCACAATAGGCAGGACTTTCCTCATTCTGTGTTGCCTTTTGTTGTTAGTTGCGAAGTCGTGTCCGACCCATCGTGACCCCATGGACAACGTTCCTCCAGGCCTTCCTGTCCTCTACCATCTTCTGGAGTCCATTTAAGCTCATGCCTACTGCTTCAGTGACTCCATCCAGCCACCTCATTCTCTGTCATCCCCTTCTTCTATTGCCCTCAATCTTTCCCAGCATTAGGCTCTTCTCCAGTGAGTCCTTCCTTCTCATTAGGTGGCCCAAGTAGTTGAGTTTCAACTTCAGGATCTGGCCTTCTAAAGAACAGTCAGGGTTGATCTCCTCTAGGACTGACTGGTTTGATTGCCTTGCAGTCCAGGGGACTCGCAGGAGTCTTCTCCAGCACCATAGTTCAAAGGCCTCAATTCTTTTGCACTCAGCCTTTCTTATGGTCCAACTTACACAGCCATACATTGCAACTGGGAAAATCATGGCCTTGACTATACACACTTTGTTGGCAGGGTGATGTCTCTGCTTTTTAGTATGCTGTCTAGATTTGTCATAGCTTTCCTCCCCAGGAGCAAGCATCTTTTAATTTCTTGGCTGCAGTCCCCATCTGTGGTGATCTTGGAACCCAGGAAGATAAAATCTGTCACTACCTCCATTTCTTCCCCATCTATTTGCCAGGAATTGAGAGGGCCGGATACCATGATTTTGGTTTTCTTAATGTTGAGTTTCAAGCCAACTTTTGCACTTACTTCTTCACCCGCATAAAGAGGCTCTTTAGTTCCTCTTCACTTTCTACCATTAGAGTGGTATCATCTGCATATCTTACGTTGTTGATCTTTCTCCCGGCAATCTTAATTCCAATTTTTGATTCATCTAGCCCTACTTTTCTCATGATATGGACTGCATATAAGTTAAATAGGCAGGGCGAGAGAATACAACCTTGTCGGACTCCTTTCCCAAGTTTGAACCAATCAGTGGTTCTGTGTCCAGTTCTCACTGTTGCTTCTTGATCCGTGTATAGTTTCTCAAGAGACAAATAAGATGATCTGGTATTCCCATCTCTTTAAGAACTTGCCACAATTTGTTGTGATCCACGCAATCAAAGGCTTTAGCATAATCAATGAAGCAGAAGTAGATGTTTTTCTGGAACTCCCTATCTTTCTCCATGATCCAGAGTATGTTGGCAATTTGATCTCTAGTTCCTTTGCCTCTTTGAAATCCTGCGTGTACTTCTGGAAGTTCTCAATCCACATACTGCTGGAGTCTAGCTTATAGGATTTTAAGGATAACTTTACTTGCATGTGAAATGAGTGCAATAGTGCAATAGTTTGAACATTCTTTGGCATTGCCTTTCTTTGGAATTGGAATGTAAACTGACCTTTTCCAATCCTGTGGCCACTGTTGAGTTTTCCAAATTTGCTGGCAAGTTGAGTGTAGCACTTTTACTGCATTGTCTTTTAAGATTTTGAATAGCTCAGCTGGAATACTGTCACCTCCACTAGCTTTGTTGTTGCTCAGATTTCCTAAGGCCCATTTCACTTCACATTCTAGGATGTCTGGCTTGAGGTCAGTGACCACCCCATCGTGGTTATCTGGGATGTTAAGCTTGTTCTTGTATAGTTCTTCTGTGTAATTTTGCCACCTCTTCTTAATCTCTTCTGCCTCTGTTAGGTCCCTGTCATTTTGGTCCTTTATCATGCCCATTTTTGCATGAAACATTCCCTTCATATCTCCAATTTTCCTGAAGAGATCTCTAGTTCTCCCTATTCTATTGTTTTCTTCTATTTCTTTGCACTGTTCATTTAAGAGGGCATTCTTATCTCTTCTAGCTATTCTCTGGAATTCTGCATTCAATTGGGTGTATCTTTCTCTTTCTCCTTGCCTTTCACTTCCCTTCTTTCCTCAGCTATTTGCAAAGCTTCCTCAGACAGCCATTTTGCTTTCTTACATTTATTTTTCTTTGGGATGGCTTTAGTTGCTACCTCTTGTACAATGTTGTGAACCTCCGTCCATAGTTCTTCAGGCACTCTGACTATCAGATCTAATTCCTTAAATCTATTTGTTACCTCTACTGTATATTCATCAGGGATATGGTTTAGTTCATACCTGAGTGGCCTAGTGTTTTTTCCTACTTTCTTCCATTTAAGCCTAAATTTTGCAACGAGAAGCTCATGATCTGAGCCACAGTCAGCTCCTGGTCTTGTTTTTACTGACTGTATAGAACCTTTCCATCTTTGGCTGCAGAGCACATGGTCAATCTGATTTCTATGTTGACCGTCTGGTGATGTCCATGTGTAGAGCCGTCTCTTGGATTGTTGGAAAAGAGTGTTTGCTATGACCATCGTATTCTCTTGACAAAATTTTATCAGCCTGTGCCCTGCTTCATTTTGTACTCCAAGGCCAAACTTGCCTGTTATTCCAGTTATCTTTTAGCTTCCTACTTTAGCATTCCAATCCCCCATGATGATAAGGACATCGTTTTTTGTATTGATTCTATAACGTGCTGTAGGGCTTCATAGAACTGGTCAATTTCATCTTCTTCAGCACCAGTGGTTGGGGCATAAACTTGGATTACTGTGATATTGAATGTTTTGCCTTGGATTCGCACTGAGATCATTCTGTTATTTTGGGGATTGTATCTCAGTATTGCTTTTCCTACTCTTTTATTAACTATGAAGGCTACTCCATTTCTTCTGAGGGATTCTTGCCCACAGTAGTATACCCGATGGTCCTCTGAATTAAATTCACCCATTCCTGTCCATTTTAGTTCGCTGATTCCTAAGATGTCGATGTTCAGTCTTGTCATCTCTTGTTTGACCATGTCCAGCTTGCCATGATTCTGGATCTTACATTCCAGGTTCCTATGGAGAAAAGATCTTTACAGCATCGGACTTTCCTTTCACCACCAGATATATCCACAGCTGAGTGTCCTTTCGGCTTTGGCCCAGTCACTTCATTCTTTCTGGCACTACTAGTACTAGCCCTCTGTTCTTCCCCAGTAGCATATTGGACACCTTCTGACCTGAGGGACTCATCTTCCAGCTGGGGTTTTCATAGCAAAGATACTGGATTGAGTAGCCATTTCCTTCTCCAGTGGATCACATTTTGTCAGAACTCTCTGCTATGACCTGTCCTACTTGGATGGCCCTGCACGGCATAGCTCATAGCTTCATTGAGTTATGCAAGCCCCTTCGCCACGACAAAGCAGTGATCCATGGAGGAGTTGCCTCTACGGGGCAACTTCAGGCCCATTTAGGGTCCCCTGGCAGGCAGTAATCAGCTGGAGAGCAGAGCCCTGTAATCCTTTGGGTGCTGCACTACTGTGCAAAACTGGAAGTCCCTTTTATAACCAATTTCTGTTCCCACAAAGATACTGTTTTGTTTTTAATTATTTCAAAAGGCTTATAGCAAAAGACAGTATTTCAAATATTAAGTCAAATATTTTTAAACTATGTGTCCCTTGGTTCATTTCAAACTTTCATGGATTAAATTCTTATACAGTTTTTGCCATTTATATATTATTTTTAAATCCTTACATTTTTAATTTTTCCATTCTCTCTGGAATGAGGGATCACTCAACAGGTAGTTTTTCAAACTTATTGCTTGGAAGAGCTCTTTTAACTTTAAAATAGTTTTATTCCAAAAGAAAATTTTCCAAAAGAAAATTCCACTTTTAAAAGTGTTTTACCATATGTAGTGGGGACTATTTGAGAAAGACCAGTCTATTGAAGAGTGGGGACATCTGTTTACTGATTTCTAGTCATAATCTTTTATGAATAATACTGAAGTTTGCAACATTATTCTCTAAAGTTCCTTTCACATATACCAAAAGAAAAATATGGTGTGCTTGATGTTTAAAATTACTCTGAAAGCTCTGAAAGTAATAACTCATTGCCTTTAGCTCCTATTAATATAAGAAAAAAGTGATAATAATGGAAACTATAGTATAAAGACTTTCAATAATCTTGAAAAATGTAACTTTTTGATTGTGCTGATAAAAATAAACAGATCTTTCAAGAGACATTTATTAGAAACCAAACAGCAAAAGGATTATATGCTTTTAAGAGACTGAGTTCAGGCTTGTCCTATATCATGCTGTAACATATGTATACTTTGTGAAGACAGAAGGATATATATATGTGTGTGTGTGTGTGTGTGTGTGTGTGGAGGTATCTGGTATGATATTGCCCTGCATTTATATGTTATTATAATATCAGTATATGCATGCAATACAATAAAACTGTACAAAATTATGTGACAAGCACTTGTGTCATCTCTAAATCTGATTATTTTTTCCTCCTGTTGTCAACTGCAAGCATAGAAGAGCCTCTTCTAGGGCCAATTCTTTTTCCTATATTCAGATCAATAATATCTGGCAACAAATAGTGTTTCTCAGATATCACCCCGAGGAAAAATTGTACCCTAGTTTTAGGCTCAGCTCTATCATAATTGCTCCACAATTGTAAATACAATATACCTGTGCTAATATTTCCTCCCAAGAAACCACACCGAAGAGTTTCCTTTGTGGCATCTGTACAGCCAGAGATAGTGCTTTTATGTGAAGTTCATCCTCAGGTTTGCTCCCAACAACAAAGGCAGTACTGGGAATCCAATTTTCCTGATTCAAAACAAAAACAATCATTAAACCATTCAGTGCTGATAATGAGTTATAAAGCCCTACATGACATGTGGTTCGGTTATTTGAGGAGCGCCTCTTCCCCATCCCATCTACCTGCTCCATCAAGTCCATCAGAAAGTGCATGTTCCAGGGCTTGTCCACAAATGAATGTCATGCCAATGGGCCTAGAAGGAAAGCCTTTTCTACCATGGCACCTGTCCTCTGGAACATCATTTCCTCAGATTCAGACTGCTCCTGACCTGACTAGCTTTCCAGAAGGCCATAAAGAACATGGCTTTATCATCTGACCTGGCGATCTGGTAGTGGTGGTGTGGGCACTGCAAAATGACTGTACTGCTATTGATTATCCTTCCATCAGATTATGTTTTTAATGGTTTCAATTATTTTAATGTTTAAATGGCATTTTGTTTATTTTGTATTGCTTTTTTGTGATTTTAATTCTGTAAGCCATTCACAGTTACATATCTAAGGGGGCAGCTACATAAATTGAAAAAGAAAAGAAAAGAAAGAAGGACGGAATGAGAGAAAGAAAGAAAGAAAGAAAGAAAGAAAGAAAGAAAGAAAGAAAGAAAGAAAGAAGTACAGTATAAAGGCATCCCTTCTCTTTTATTTTTTCATGCTCAGAAATCAAATTTCTTTATATGCAATTGCCATCTACCACTAGGTGGCATTATTATACTGTGTACTAAATCTACTAGATCTTTCTACTATAGTACTTATCCTACCCAAATTTTATTTATTTGTTATTTGGTAAGATACAGATATATTTGCACAAATAAATAAACAAATTTCAGATAAATGTGCCTGTAAAAATGATAATCATTAGTAATGTATATAATTGAGATCATAAGAGACTAAAGAACAAATGGGATACCAGCTATGAAATGATAAATATTGAATACTGACTAATGCATTGTTTCTTTTGTTCAATCTGAGTTATTTTCTTTGTTTATAAGTATCTTCATTTTTGTTATATTAGACACAGTGAACTTTGAATCTGAAATGCTATGTATTAACAGCTGTAATGTTAATTATATAAAATACCATATACACATACTACATTATTGTTGATTTATTTCTTATTTTCTATAAACAAAATAATAAGATTACCTGATTAAATGTACAACTCATTAACAACTTATCAGATAGGTCTAAGTGACCTATATTTATCTAATGATAAGACTGAACCAGTTTGGATTACATACTACATACTCAAAGAATGGCTACACATGTCCTGTGACTGCTCCATATCATCTAAAAGTTTTATCTGTGGGACTTTACTGGGGTGGAGAGAGGACAGACAATACATTCTGGCCTCATAAGTTTGATAAATTTGTTCTTAAATGTATAAGCACAAGAAGATCAATATCTTACAATTATTGGCTACAATAATAACAGTTATAGTAATTGTTATAGTATATAGTTATCGTCAAGAAAGCAGACTCAAAATTAACAAAGACTTGCAACAAAAGTCAAATATAATAAAAAAAATATTTCAACATATAAATCAGGGCTTTTCAACCTTTTCACCCATTGTACCACTTTTAGGATATGGCAATATCCGAGTACCACCAGTTGCCTAGCAAGGTGTCAAAAACTTGATGACAAAAAAAAAAAGGAAAAAAGTGATAAAGTACAGGTAATCCTAAACTTACAACAGTTCGCTTAATGACTGTTCGAAGTTACAATGGCACTGAAAAAAGTGCCCCCCCCCAAGCCACAGCCGAGCAAGACACCTGCCTGCCCACCCAGCGGCACTCTTCCTCCTGTTCGAGGTTTTCATTGTTGTGAGCATTTCTGTTGGGGATTGGCAGCGGAGGTGGTGTGGGGGGTGTTTGGTTTTTATTCCACCCGTCTGCTGGGTGGTTGCAGCAGGTTTTGGTCACTTCACATGACCCTAGAACACTGTGACCATCATAAATATGAATCAGTTGCCAAGTATCTGAATGTAAATCACAAGACCTTGGAGATGCTGCAACATTCCAGCTGATCGGTGCTTCTGGTCTCAGCAGAAGTGCCAGGATCAGCGCCGAGCTCCAACTGGAGCCTGCCGCTGATCCTGGTGCTTCCACTGAGCTCTGACAGCCCCGAAGAAGTGCCAATCAGCTGGAAAGCGGCACTGATCCTGGTGCTTCTGCTGAGCCCTGACAGCCCTGCAGCTCCAGCCATCTCTCTCTCAGGCTTGTGTGATGCTGCCACCAGTTCAGCTCATTCCCCTCCCCCGCTACCACTTTTCTAGGATGGTCGCGTACCACCTGCCAGGTGCCAATGTACCATAGGTGGTACCCGTACCACTGGTTGAAAAGCCCTGATATAAATAAAAAGAAAAGAGTCAAGGAAACAATTGGTCCACTACAGAAAGAAGATGGCAAGGAAGTAACAGGCAGTACAGAGAATGCAGCGCTGCTTAGCTCATTGTTTGTATCAGTCTTCCCACAAAAAGAAACTATAGCCCAACCTACCAAAAACATAATTATAAAAGACAGACTAGAAATAAAAATTAAAATTAAAATAAGCAAGAAAATGGTAAGAGAACAACTATCTGATCTTGAGGAATATAAATCACTAGGACCTGATGGATTATATCCCAGAGTTCTGAAGGATCTGACAGATGTCATCTCAAAACCATTGTACCGTATCTTTCAAAAATCCTGGAGCACTGGGGAACTACCTGAGGATTGGAAAAGAGCTGATGTGGCTCCCATCTTCAAAAAAAGAAAAAAAAATCAGACTCAGGAAACTACAGACCAATCAGCGTAACATCAATGCCTGGGAAGATACTAGAAAAGATAATCAAGAAAATGAAATAAAGTTATAACTAGAAGCCAGCATGGGTTTGTTATAAACAAATCATGCCAAACCAATTAGTAGACCAGCGAAATGCTGTAGATATAATATACTTAGACTTCAGTAAGGAATTCAACAAAGTAGACTACAACTTACTTCTTGATAGGCTAGAAAAAAGTGGGATAGCATCACCACCAGATGGGTTTGTAACTGGCCGACAAACTGTACTCAACAAGTAGTTCTTAATGGTACTACATCTAGGTGGAGGGAAGTAAGCAGTGAGGTACCACAAGGTTCCATCTTAGGCCCAAGTACTCTTCAATATCTTTATAAATAACTTAGATGAGGGAGTAAAAGGGGAACTCATTGAATCTGCAGATGACACTAAACTGGTAGGAATAGCCAACACCTTGATAGACTTAGGAACCAGATGGATCACGACAGATTTGAACATTGGCAGCAAAATGAAATTTGACGTAGAGAAAAATAAAGTCTTACACTTAGCAAGAAAAAACAAAAGTACATGTACAGATTAGGTGAAACCTGGCTTATTTGCAGTAACTGTAAGAGGGATCTTGGAGTCCTAGTGCACAATCAATTAAATATGAACCAGCAGTGTGCAGCAGCAGCCAATGCCAATCCTAAATTGCACTAACAGAAGGATTGAATCAAGATCATGTGAGGTAATAGTACCGCTCTATAAAGCCTTAGTAAGGCCACACCTAGAATACTGCATCCAGTTTTGGTCACTAGACTATACAAAAGATGTTAAAACTCTAGAAAAGAATGCAAAGAAGAGCAACAAAGATTATTAGGGACCTGGAAGTTAAAACATATGAAGAATAGTCTAGTCCAGTGAAGAGAAGAACCAGGGGTGACATGATAGCAGTGTTTCAATATTTGAGTCACAGAGAAGAGGGGCCAACCTATTTTCCAAAACCCAAAGGTGCTTTGGGTCCAGTTTTTCAACTGAACCTTCTTGTTTTTCTTTGAAGACATTTCACTTCTCACCCAAGAAGCTTCTTCAGCACCAACTGAAAAAAGCACCAGAAGGCCAGACAAGGAACAATGGAGGGAAACAAATCAAAGAGAGAATTATGGAGAAACTTTCTAACAGTGAGAGCAATTAACTGGTTGAACTGCTTGCCATCAGAAGTTGTACGTGCTTCATCATTGGAGGCTTTCAAGAAGAGACTGAACAGCCACTTGTTAGAAATGGCATAGGATCTCCTGCTTGAGCAGGGGTTGGACTAGATGACTTCCAATATCCCTTCCAACTGTATTATTCTATTCTATTCTACTCAACAATGACCCAATATAGCTACTTATAATGTTCCTGTCTATAACCTCCCTCTTTGCTTTTGAAACACATAAACTATTAATATACTGTAATATAATGAACTAATTTTCTTTCATTTTGAGAACTGTCAGCCTACAACATAGGCTGAAGTACAACCCACATATTATGAAAAGGGAATTACATGGAAATTCTGATTAATCCTTTATGCTTGGAAGATCAGCAAGGCTGGGTCTGGTTAGTAGACCAGTAGAAAATCTCAGGCTAGGAGATGAAGTGGAAAAAAAAAAAAAACATCCCCAGACAAGACAACAGCAAACTACTTTCTATTGACATCAAGAAAAGGGCATAGGTGTATCCACCACGACTTTGATTTGATTGAAGGAGATTTTTTCTTAAGATACACCAGGTTCAATGTGGCTTCATCTCCTGGTACGGAGGGTTGTCTTGAGTTACAATAATATTCATGATTTCTTTAGGGCAAACCCACAAGCCACGCTAGGAACCATGTTGCTAAGCAGAAAAAGACTGAGTTCCTCAAAACTCAAAGTAATTCTGTTCCCATCTGCGATGCATACCCTCCCCTATACAAACACTGAGATCCCAGTGTCGACCACATCCCCTCGTTTTTCCTGTCAAACAGGTCCATCTTTTTTTCTGAAACAAGAGACAACATGTGCCTCCCTCCACTGCCAACGCACCTCTTCCAAGCGGACCGCCACAAGCCCCGCTTCCCAGTTCTTGGGGCCTGCCCCTGGGGGGCCAGAACCCCCGCCGCCCGCCCCGGTCTTGGGTCGCTTGGGAGCCATTGAAAAGAGTGGGACAAGATCCGTTGCCTTGGCAATCGCCACGAGGCCGTCCTCCTGCGCAGGCGCGGGAACGCGGCCGCGCGCGGCTTAGGTCGCCCAGGTAACCGAGAAGCCTAGCGTTCGAATATGGGTAGCCTGTTGCCGTGACCCGCCAAGCCTGCCTGGAAAGGGTCGCCTATTAGCAGCCGACCAGGTTGGGGGAAAAAATGCATATTTTTCATGGCGATGGGCGACGCCACAAGGCATGGATCCTAAAATAAGTACTGAAAACGAAGCACCCGAAGTCATGCAATATGAATATTTATTTGATGTCAGATTTATTGTAATGGGATCTGTTCAAAATGGGAGACACACCAAATCAGCATCTTCTGCCAGCTTGCACTTTTTTCTGGAACGGGAATGATTGGGTCGGTCAGTGCCAGCTTTTGGCTTCTCAGCTTTTTCCCATTTTCCCCCAATTTTTTTTTTGGGGGGGGGTGTTCAAGGTACAAGTAGTCCTTGACTTATAACAGTTTGTTTAGTGACTGTTCAAGGTTGCAACAGCACTGAAGAAAGTGACTTATGACCATTTTTCACACTTAGGACTGTTGCAGCATCTCTATGATCAAAATTTAGATGCTTGGCAATTGACTCATGACAGTTATAGCCAGTGCTTTTTTTTGTAAAAAAAAAAAAAAAAAGGTGCCGGAACTCACACATGTCATACAACCCGCCTTGCCTACCCTACAAGATTCCATCCAAAAAAGGTGCTGGAACTCCGTTCTGGGCGTTCTATGACAAAAAATGCCCTGGTTATAGCATCCCGGGGTAATGTGATCATCTATTGCAATTTTCTACCAGGAAAAGTCAATGGGGAAGCCAGATTCTCTTAACAACTGTGTTACTAATTTAATAACTGCAGTGATTCATTTAACAACTATGGCAAGAAAGGTCATAAAATGGGGCAAAATTAATTTAACAAATGACTTGCTTAGCAACAGAAATGTTGGGCTCAATTGTGGTCGTAAGTCAAGGATTACCTGTATCTGGATCTTCAATTCTTTTAGCAAAACAAGTGTGGACAGAAAGTACCATTGATCCATCACAAACAATATCCCAAATTCTGTTGCCTGTATGTACACTGACCATATGCTATTTATTATAAAGTGCAGCCCTTTATTTAAGAAAGCTGTACTTTAGATTTATTTCTTGAGTTTGCTCTTAAATTTTCTTGTAAATCAAAGTTATAAAGAACTAATTTTTTATCCTTACCAGTCTCATTCAGATTTGCCTTTTTTTCAGGTCTATTTTTTCCCCCAAGAAAATACAATCACTGTATCCACATGGCCTCCTTAGTTTATCCGAACTGTACTACATAACTGTTCTGATCTCCCTACCTTGTTGAAGTCTCTTCTGTTTCTTGTTGCTCCTCTCCTTAGGAAAATAAAGCATTACTGTTAAGTGACTTGAAACCTCTTTTGCTGAAACATAAAATAATGAACTGGTGGTTTATGGATTTATTAAAAAGGGTAAATTATAGAAAGAAATTATGACATAACCTTACAGAGAGGAGGTAAAATATAAATGTATGTATAATTGCTATTAGGAAGATTGGAAACTACTTTTTGTTACTTTTTTCTTTCTTTACTTTTTTCTTTACTTTTTTATTATTTTTCCCTTTTTTTTCCTTTTCAATTCAAAATTTAAATTGCTTTTATTCTGTTGAAATTTTCTCTACATTTTTTTCTATTACATGGGCCATAATGTGGATGATCTTGCATCCTTCTTTATTGCTTTCTGGTACAGAAGGACATGAGCCTATCAGTAACATTAAAATAAAATTCAGCTGCCAATCTCAGAAGAATTTCTGAATATCTTTTCTGATATGTATCAATGGAGCAGGAGAGCAGTAGGCAGCATATGAACAGAAGCCATCTACGTGGGAGGTTGCAGCATCTATGCTTATGATAAATTTTTAATGTTTTTTTTTCTTCCAAATCTCCAATTCTTTTGCAGACTTTAAACAGCAATTCAATCTGATGTTCTATAAAAAAATGGCTCAATCCTTTCATGACTGAATGTAGCTTTAAAAAATTAAATTCTTACATCTGTATAAAGTATATGCATGGCATTTTTTTACCATTTTAAATTGTTTTAAGTTCAGGTTGGCTTATCTCTGGTGACCATTATATCATACAGACACAGATTAAGATACAGAACAAGAAAGCTAATATAGGAAGTCTTTGATCTATGACTGGTTGATTAGGAAATGTTCCAAGTTACAATGGAAATCCCCAGAATTACTTATGGCCTGGATTTGAAGTTGGACCCCACCTGCGGTCAGATAGTCACATTTTTGATATTCAACAATCAGCCTGTATTCATGGCCATTTGCAGCATACAGAGTATATAATCGAGATTTATCATGCTGGAAACTGGCATTTACTTCTTACTTCTGCCACAGCAACCCCATTGCAAACAATGCAATTGCTTACTGACCACAATGTTCACTTAATGACTGCTGCAAGAAAGGTTGTAAAATAGGTTGAGGTCCCACTTAATGACTAGCATGAATTATGACCATAATTCTAGGCTCAATTACGGTCATAAGGCAGGACTATTTTTACAGAATAATTAGTTTGCTTCTGTGGGAATACAAAAAAGATGCAGTCATGAGGATGTTTCATAAATGTGTCCTTCATGTGCTGAGCTTGAGATCATAAAAGATGTCATCACAATGCATTAGGCTGCCAGCTGCTAGGCATATTCCTTAGATTCACAAGAGGTCAACTCTATTAAGCGATATTCAGAATAGGAAATGTATGGGATACACCACAAAAGGAAGCTGACTAGAAAAAGGATAATATGTGATTTAAAAAGTAGTTCAAAAGAGGTGAATACAGAAATCTCTGGTTCAATAAATGTGAATTAGATTGTCTTGGAAATGCTCTAATACACATATTTTTTAATCAGGTTGGATAAATAACCTATTGGAGATGCTATCGCAGGAGATTTTCTGTTCAGCAGGAACTTGGAACTCAAAAACTTTTAAGTTTACTTTCAATTTTATGTTATTATTGTTATACCACCTGCAAATTTGGGGTCACCTAAATGAAATTATAGCAGTATTTAATTGTGTATCTGCTACATTTATTTAAAAAGAAAGCATATATTTGGCTCTGAAGCCAGGCAAAGGAACAAAGGGCAGTTGTATGGAAATGTGAGTTTAGCATCTGGCCTCTTATTCACTCATCTTTTTTTCATCTGAACTGGTGCATGATTAAACACAGGTAGTCCTTGACTTACACCAGTTCATTTAGTGACTGTTTGAAGCTACAACAGCATTGAAAAAAGTGACTTTTCATCATTTTTCACTCTTACAACCATTGCAGCATTTCCATGGTCATGTGCTTGGCAAATGATTCATATTTATGATGGTTGCAGTGTTCTGGGATCAAGGAGTCACCTTTTTGTGACCTTTTGACAAGCAAAGTCAATCGGGAAACCAGATTCACTTAACAACCATGTTACTAACTTAAAAACTGCAGTGATTCACTTAACAACTGTGGCAAAAAAGGTCATAAAATGGGGCAAAATTCACTTCACAACTGTGTTACTTAGCAATATAAATTTAGGACTCAGTTGTGGTCATACATTTATTTGTTATGATTATATTATTGCAGTTTCATAATTTGCATAATGTCTGCATAATTTTATTTATCTATTTAAATTTAGTGCCACCTTTTATGTCTTGGAGTTTGCAGCATTGAAGCAACATACACTCATGTTGTAACCAAGTTCTTCTTTATTTACTACACATTACCACTCAGTAACCCAACAGGCTTGTAGTCGTTTTATAGTTTTCCAAACAGCCAATCATAAATCTCTTTTGTTCACGCCTTGCGCATGTGCGCAAGGCCTGCGCCAACCAGTCTGGTCCTGGGCAGCTTTTAGGTTGCCCGGGACCATTTGCAACATTTCTGGGCCTGCTGAGCTGCCTCATCAGGCCCAGGACACAACACCACCCATCTCCAAATTGACTCTGGGTGGCTTACAATGTAACAATAAGACAGCAAATATCTTGACTGTAATGTCACAGTCCTTTTTTCTAAAGAGTTCAGCACATTCTTCTACATTATAAAGTAAGGGTCAATCACCATTTCTCCAAACTTGAGTTGTTTCTTTATTGCATTACTCCAGAATCAATAATTGGTAGCTCTGAATGTGAATGATGCATTGTCTAGCAAGATTTTGTCTTAAAATACATTTAATAAATTACATATTCAAATGGAATTTATATGGAGTCAGCATGCTAGAACTTTTAGCTTGTGTTGGAAGAAAAACGAGCAAACTCAATTGACACTATAGTGTCGGAGCATGACTTCAGTATGCATGAATACGGCTCAGTGACTTGGAGGTCTGTGCAGGTGTGGGCAACAAGGCCTAAATTACATTTCAAATATTACCATATGTTCCCACACTAGGGTGAAAGGCAGAGAGAGAGAGAGAGAGAGAGAGAAAGAGTAGGAGAACAGCCAAGGTAAAGAATTCATTACAGGGGAGTCATGTTGTGATCTTACACTGGAGACAAGTGATTTTCTGTGATTTAACATTCTGTGAAAATATTCCAAAATACATGGTTACCTCCAGTTCTACCCTGGCTCCATCTGACTGCTTACGGCCTGGACTCTTTGTTTAAATTCCAAGGACACTTTGAAATGTTGCTTTTTGTAAAATTATTAATTTAGCGTAACATGTATATGAGGACATCACTGCCTTATATTTTAGATGAGGAATCATTCACCTGATCATTTGAGTTTGCAAAGGACACAGCTTTTAATCAAAAAGAATTGTAGAGAGACAAGGCAGGTGGGAAGGGAAAGGAAACCAGTTTTGTCCCACGGGCCAAATTAATTCTACCCAAAGAGATTGTGCCTGTATATCAGTAGTGTGTAGGCCTAGAGCCCATCATGGGGAGGGATACTTTGTCACAGGCACACAGTCGTTTGTATGCTTTCTCTTACTGTATACTTTCAATCCCCTAAATATGACATCTAATTACAAAAAATCTGTAATTGGATTTTAAGACAATGGAAACTATATAAAAACCTGATTTGAGAGTGAAAAAATGAATTTTCAAATGAAAGTTTCAATACGGATAGGAAGAGCTAATTTGGGAAGATAAAGATAGCAAGGGAAATGCTGCTAGCACCCACCTCAGTAGCCAACTATACTGTTGTACTTATAAAAGAGAAAAAGTATTAACATTGATATTGTCATTCCTTTATGGAGGGAGGGCTTCCCCTCCTATTCTTAACCTGTTGCAAAGAGTCGGGGGGGGGGGAAGACTTCATTTCCCATTTGAACCCCATACCTCTCAGCTTCCATCTTTTCCTCCAGAAAAAAAATAAG